GAGTGGCTGAGAGTGTGTGTTGTGAGCCAACAAGTTTAAATTCAAATCTCACCACATGCATTAAACTTACTAGATGGCCTTAGCAAGTGAATATTCTCTTAGGCTCAGCGCCCTACTCTCCTCCAAACACCCAGTTCCCGCAATATGGGCAAATAATAATGCATAGGATGGAGGATAGTAAAAATTTGTCTTATGGGCCTCTTTTAAGAACTGCTGAGAGGTAGGTGAGGTATTTTGAACACTTGAAGCTCTATAAATGCTTATTGGTGTTATTTTTTTTTAAGTGTTGCATGCTTAAAAGGCTGACTCATCTTGTGCTTTTTTGACCTTTCTTGTCTGCCTTCCAGAGTATCAGCTCTCCTTCCTCTGTAGTACATTCAGTTCTGTAGAATTCGCAGAGCTGTAAAGGAAATGCAGATAATCTGTAATAGGTGGCCTATCACGTACTCATCAGTTTTTAACTTGAGCTGTCCTAGAACATCACCATCCTTGTGCGCAAGAGCGGGAAGGTATCAGCAGTTTTGTAGAAGTACCAAATGAAACAAAAAACACCCTTTTATCCTCAATTTACCTCCATTAATTCCTACCACCATTACTCCATATTGATAGCATACTGGCATTTCTGATGTATCCTTCATGTGCTTCTGATTCATTCAAGTCACCTTGTGTCAGAGCCATTCAGTATCTACTTGTTTCCTCCCCATGTGAGTTTTCAGGTGGGATGCTCACAAGTTAAGAATAGTAGGCCGCATGCTTCCCATACCTCGATTGGGAACCTATGGCCCTTCAGATGTTGTTGGACAACACCTTCTGTCATCCTTGTCCTTTGGCCATGCTGGCTGAGGCTGATGGGAGTTGGGAGGCCAATAACACCTGGAGAACCACGGGTTCCCTATCCTTAGTCTACACCATAAAAAGAGGATGTCTCTACAGGGCTCTCCTTTGCTACACCTTATCCACGAGTTCCAGAATCACTTTGAGGGGGTTTCCAGATTAGGCTTACTGCTTCTGAAAAGCTGACTGCAGCAACTTTGCGGTCCATGTGCATTTCAGTAATGTAGTATGTGAAGCGGAACTAAATTTACTTAGAATTTCAGCCAAAGGTTTTGGGCTAGTAGTCACTATGGAACCATGAGAATTCAAACCACCCGAGGTGTATTTTCTGATGTGTGAATGAGCGAGCATTTTGCAAATCTGAACATGGAGCCAAGTGTCTTATGTGCCCAAAATGATGACTTAATCAAAGCCCACCTGTTTAATGCCTGACTCACTCGCTCACTGTGAAACTGATTAGTTGTGAAATATTTTTGTCAAGGGATAATTTTATGTGACTTTCAGATGATCTGCTTTTAACTGAAAGCGAGAAATGTGTTAATCACAACATTTTAAAGTGCCTGTAGGAAATGTCATTGGTTTCTTTGTGTTTATATAAAATATAAACAGTTTAATACGTTACAGAGTGGCATAAGGTGAACACAGATATAACTTTTTAGAGCGTTGAGCTCAATTTGGAAGCAGCCTCATTGTGTTCAATCCAAAAATACTGTTTTGTCTCCAGAATTGACTTCTGGGACATAAAACTTTTTGCAAGCTTTTTGCAGAACCACCCTGTGCTGTGATCCTCAGATGAAAGATGGCGTATAAATAAATAAATTTATTTCCATTTTTTTCCTGTGCAGAAGGCCTTCAAGCTTCTGCTAATTTACTCCATAGTTTAGGAACTTCTCCTTAAGCTTCTAATTGCCCCAAATATGTAACCATGTATTACTAAGGAACAGTATTCAACGAGTCCCCCCACCCCACACAATTAGTGACTTCTGAAGTTATGTGGTGTTGTTCCTCATTGTTTCATGTATCTTTTAAAGTTTATTTCAAAATAAAATTCCACATTTAAAAGAGAGGTTATCCCATTTACTGCAGCAAATAATCACCATCAACTTACATTATATACCTATTTTATTGTCCGGTATGAGCACAATGTGGTATTATTTATTGGTGCCTTCATGTGGTCCTGTCCTAGATAATATTGTAGGATGCTCTGCACTTTTTGTGTGGCTGGTGGCTGGAAGCAGTATTGCAGGGCTGTAATTCTCAAGTCCTGGAGAGATTGGGAATAATTTTGAACTATCAAATCCATTCTCTTCGTATGTAACAGTTCAAAATTTCTTTTAATAGCTCTGGTTAATATTCTGCTTCAATAGCTCTTATTTAAAATGCACTTAGATATTATTGAGCTGTACTAAATGTAGTTCAATAAAACAATTACAGTGGTACCTCTGGTTGAGAACTTAATTCATTCCGAAGATCCGTTCTTAACCTGAAACTGTTCTTAACCTGAAGCACCACTTTAGCTAATGGGGCCTCCCACTGCCGCTGCACCGTTGCTGCACGATTTCTGTTCTCATCCTGAAGTAAAGTTCTTAACCCGAGGTACTACCAGGTTAGCGGAGTCTGTAACCTGAAGCGTTTGTAACCCAAAGCTTTTGTAACCCGAGGTACCAGTGTATTATTAAAGTAGACATCTAAAAAAAATAGAGACGATAAACAAAAATATGGATATTTCAGTAACCGTTACTTAGAAACGGTGTTTAAAATACCGAGTAACCATTTCATAACGATGGAATTAGAAATTAATTACATATAAGGATGACCCACTTTTTCTAATAACCAAGCACAAGAAGCATTTAATCCTCCTCAGAGAGACTCTTATTTTTATCCTTTTTGACAGCTTGGTCTAGATTAACCACAGGGGCTGTGTCAGTCTAATACTGACATTTGCACAGTAGTGAAATGAGGCTTGCTATGTGTTGGTAGCCAGTCATCCCAAAAGTAGCCTCTTGGAATCTCTCTTCCCACCCACCTACCCTATTTAACTCCCACGCTCCTTTGCTGTGGCTAAATTATATAGATAGATAGGCAGGTATATCGACCATGTTCCAATGGGTCTCTCTAAAATCTCCTCTCTAAGTGTGTTCCAGTGAACTAGGAAATTATTTTATGATGTTGGGAATTGCCCCAGTTCAGTGAATGATAAAGAACAGAACAAAGCCCTCAGTCTTCAGATGGCTGAAGATAGGCTGAATACCGGGAGTAGAGAAATTAGGATGATGCAAGACTTAGCATTTCAGACTTGGTATCTAATAGGCTTTCAGGAAGTCACACAAGACCAGACTGCTTCCTTGTGTACCTCTTTGCAGTGGTGCAGTGGACTGGGTGGACTTATTGGGAAAATGGAGAAGCTCAGTTATGGGCCCTCCTCATTCTTCTGAGTGGGACTCACGGGTTCTGTCCCAAAGGCCTGCGCTGATGACACCACTCCATCTTCTCTGTGAGAAAGGGTGATGTCCTGTACTTTTCATGTCACACTATGGCATATGTATAAGCATAAATTTGATTTTTGTGGGCGGGCAGAAGTGAAAAGCATATTCCAATATATGTGAATTATTATTCATAAGCCAGTATGCTGAGCAGACTCTCCCATCAGTCAGCGACCATTCACAATTTCCCAGCATTCAGAAAGCTCTTTGCTCCAAGTGGTGTGATTGTTCAGTCCCATTTCAAAGGGAGCTCTGCCTAGGGAGCAGCTGTACCACTTAGCTTTGCTCAGAGCACCCAATCAGATTTGTAAGACATTCTCCTTGATCCGCTAGCTGGGATGCTTGTTTTCTCTCCCCACTTCCTATCCCATGGAAGTGCTCTATGAACTACTTTGCATATATTTTAAGAATATGTAATTCGACGTTCTGAAACGACCCTCTAGCCAGAAAGAGATGGAAATTTGACAGCTTTTAACAGGCATCTACTTTGGGGAATAATAGTAAAGTGATAATCTGAAGAGATATCAAAAACGAATTGTCGTATTTCAATACATCTATATTTAGCACTTCCCCTCTGAATTTTCAGGGGCAATCATCGTTCCATTGGAGGTTGTTTTTCTCCTCTCACTTTTTTGGGGTGGGGGTGGGGAATCTTTTGTTCATTTAAAAGAGAACATCATATTCTGCAGCTGTTGAACATTGATAAGATGCAGGAAATATTTTGAAATGGCAACCAAAATGCTTTATTTTATCTGTTTGTTATTCCAGACTTTTGCACATGATAGAAAAAGGTCCCATGCAGTCGAATGGTGACTATTCCTAAGCAATGTTTAGGTACTTTGTGCCTCAGTTCTGATATACCATAGGCACACAAATTAGGTTGTTCCAATTTAACATAGCAATCAGAAGCTGGTGGGTATCATCCAGTATTGGGCTTGGATCCAAAGAAACATTAAGAGAACTCAGCTCATGCAATAGAGTCTTCCTACCCCCTCCTTTTTATTGCACCCCCTGTACCTGCCAAAGATATGCCTGAGAGTCAGGGGATCATGCCATTTTAAGCAACAGCAAAACCTATTATCAGCAAAGGCCAGCTTAAAAAAAAAGTTGGCTTTTTGCATTTGCATTCTCAGTGAGTATATATTATCTTTTCAACTAAAAATATTTAATTTATTAAAATAGATTTAAAAACTTAAGCACATGTTTCAGTCTCTCACACTGACCATAATTAAGGGTTAGAAATGCTGCATTGTTTCCAATAAATATATTTAATCACTTTATATATAAAACTTACATGTATGTAATTTTATTTTGTAACATATGTTTTTAAACTGCTGATTTAATTAATATTTTGAATTTTTTTTAATGTCAAATTGGTTCTTTATAAACTTTTTACATTTTCTGCTCCGTGTAACTGCTTAGAGGTTTTTGCAGTTAAGCAGTATATAAATTATGTTAAATAAATAACAATTAAGTTTTAAAAGAGTAATCACCGGGTCGGTCAGATAAATTAAATAGGGATTTTTTTACATGGGGCAGTGAATAACTTCATTGATTTTGAAATGGAGCTTCTTTTATATTTAGGCAAAAGAATGGTACTAGAATTATTCAAAAAGTATGCAATAATTATATTGAGACATCATTTCTCCACAATGTTTGCTTTTCTTTACTGTGTTAATACAGGATGTGAATGCAGGCGAAGGGAGTGAATTTGCAGACAGTGGGATTGAGGGGGCAACGACTGACACGGACCTTCTTTCCAGACGTTCCAATGCCACAAACTCCAGCTACTCTCCAACGACCAGCCGGGCCTTTGCTGGCAGCGACAGCGGCAGCTCTTCCACTGGAGATGGGGCTCGTCAGGGAGTCTATGAGAACTTCCGGAGGGAGTTGGAGATGAGTAGCACCAATGATAACTTGGATGAAGCTGGATCTGCCCTGAGCGATGAGCAGAGCAGTGGGACTTTGAGTTCCCCAGGACAGTCGGACATACTTCTTACAGCAGGCCAGGGGACAGTACGGAAAGCAGGAGCGCTTGCAGTGAAGAACTTTCTTGTGCACAAAAAGAACAAGAAGGTGGAGTTAGCCGCACGGAGGAAATGGAAGCAGTACTGGGTTTCTTTAAAAGGTACTGTGAATACACCCTTATTTTCTTAAGAGATCAGAGAGTACAGCAACTATTTGGTGGCAGTGAAGATCTTGTGTTACTTAAGCAGCTTACTTATTGGGTGGGGCACGATATTCTGAAAGTGCAGTATAAGATGAAATCTATTAAAATAACTCTGCAAAAGGCTTGTTGCACAACTAGGCATTACTTTTTTATGTAACACAGTTTTTTAAAACAAGTCCAGTTTCACATCCCAGTTTTAGGCAGGAAGCTCAGGAAGTGGTCTTAGGTCTGCTGCTTATGGAAACATGTACAAAAGAGTAGTTCTGGGGCTAAAATGTTACTTGGAGTTCCCTGGAGTAAAGAGAAGATACAGATATGACATGCAAAAAACCAAGACCCAAAATATGCCTGTCACACATGCCAGTGCTCCTTCTTGTGAAGAGCTATTTGTACAGGGGATAGTACAGGTGGACAGACAGTAAAAGATAATGGGAACTGGCAAGATATAACATGAAGCTTCTCTAAGCATGTCTTTATTTCCCCTGGCTATTTATTTTCCCTGCTTTTGCTATAAGCATAATTTCAAACCCACCAGAATTCTTCATCCACTTTGATCTGCATATGAAAGTGAATGTTAGAAACCAATCTGTGATGGCAGTCCTTTAAAGTCAATGCTTTGGCTCTTCATCTGTGGCCATTTGGCTCTTCATATAGGGCCAGTGTGCCTGGCAAGTGTAGCCTAGGTGAGATGGTTCTGAATCTGCTCATATGAAATGTAGGTATTCTTCTTGCGGTTTTGCCTCTGCTTCGCCGCTTAAGATGGAACATGTATTTGAAAATGTTAGGGCTTGGAAATAGGAGTATGAGAACCACAGTTCTGAAAAGTCTTATCTACTCCCTTAAACAGGCTGAGAAAACTGAGGACAAGCTGTTACCTAAATAGGTTTCCTTGATCTGTTTGGGACCATTCCTTCCAAATTACATTTTCTAATTCTATCTATTTAAGAATTGAGACCAAAGTAAAACAAAAGCTGAACTCTGAGCAAAGCAGATCAAAAGGGGGAAGTCACATTGCAACCAAGTTCTGTTTTATATTGTTCAGAAAGGTCACAAAAGACGGGAAGGTTACTTGCTGAGCCCAAGGAATAAAAGGTGGGCCTTGTGATTTCACTATTATTCCTTTTGGTAATGAGCATTGCCTGGAGCAGGAGTTTGTAGGAGCTGAATGCATGTAACATTGCAACTGAGGTCAGGGAAATAGATCAGAGACTTACCATGGCTGACTGAGCAAAGGAAGAGGCCATAATCATCCCAGTCCAGGCAGCATGATGGGAGAGTGTGATGGTGTGGTGCAAATAAACAAAGAGCCATCTGGAAGGAAAGAAAGGGGGAAGGAGGAACATAAAAGAGGTGTTACTTTAAAGTGTGACTTACACTGATTGTTTGTTTCTTGGATTACCAAGGCTTAATAACGTTCTAATAATGTTTGTATTTAGGCTTTGAAGTTAACATCTGCTGTGTCTTGCTGAAAAGTACTTTTTGCTGAAAATATTGTATCTGCCGGTCTTGGGTTAACATGGTAACCGCAGATTACTTGACAGCAGAAAATCTATGAAGAATTTTAAAACCAAACAAAATGAGAATTTTCTGTTAGGAAACCAGAGTGATGTTTATTATATTTACATGATAAAGCATGAATGCTTTCAGTGGAATCCTATACATATCTATTCAAAACAAATTCCATTGAGTGCAGCGTTTTGGGAGGTTTTTAATGGTTGATGTTTTTATTATGTTTTTAAACTTGCTGTAAACTGCCCAGAGAGGCTGGGGAAACTCAACCAGATGGGCAGGGTATAAATCATCATCATCATCATTCTCAGTGGTACAGATTAGTAGGTGCAGGATTGCAACGTCAATTCTATCCTTCCAAGTTTTACAATTCTACCTTAACTTCAAGTAGGTATTAGTTTCTGTGTTGATAACAACACATTGATCACCAGCTAAAATATTCTAATAGAATGGAAACCTTATGGGTTGTTTTCTGCTGCCTTTTAATAAAACGAGCTAAGATTTATCAAAGTTCATTTCTCAAAGTTTGGACTACATCAGTTAGTAGCATCCCTTCCACCCAAATAGAATATATTTACTTTTACACATCTAATTGTGTAAAACATGTACAATTGATGCAAGAAATGTTTTTCAGACCAGACCATAGTTTTTAAGCATCAATGTATTTGCATGCTAACTTCCCCATTTTCATAGGCTGATACATAAAAACCAATATGTTAAATTGTGCCTGTGGGTAAAGGCTGACATGAATTTGGGTTCGTATGTAAAAGTGCAACTCAGTGTATCATTTCCTGCATGTGAAAAAGTGGGTTGTAGTCCAGAAAATCCAAAGTAAATTTGTTAGCCTTTGAGGACTCCTTAAAAATTATTTACATGCTGACTGTTTATTCACCTCCATAAAACATTGAAACTGGCATCAGTTTTATTTTAGCTTTTTAAATCATTAAAGCCAATCAGTTTCAGGTCTGTTTCTCCTTAACAACTGGTTTTACTTTCACTTAATATTGGCCTGTTACTTTCACAAATTTATTTGCAATTTGACCTGCCTTTAACCCCCATAGCCCCCTGGGAGGAGCTGAGTTTATAATGCCAGTCCACCATGGACCCACAGAAGAATTAACCTGCATCGACCATTATATAGATTGATTGAGGCTATACTCGTATTGCCAAAGGCATTGTAGGGGCAATATAAATTCGACCATAGGAAATTTTGAAACTATGCTAGGACAAAAGGAAAGTTCCTTTCCATATCTCCATCTCCTTATGACGGCTTCATACATTACAGCAATAGCATGTTTGCTTCTGTGTCATGGAGCTGCTTGTAGATCAAGACTAGAAATGTCAGGTTGAAAATAAAACCTTTGGTTCCTCGAGTCTCAGAATTGCTTTTGTGTCACACAAAAGTACTTTGAAGGTTGAAGGGTTGCACATGAACCAGTCTAGACCTCAGGAAGTACTGGCAGGGGGGTGTTTGAGGATAATATATGTTGTAGCTTTATTATTGTCTAGGCTAGTTGTAACGTTACTTTTGTTAGAGATCTGGAGTCTCCTGGCCAGAGAGATTTTTAAAATTCTTTTATTTTAAATTTCAAACCAGTGCTAAGGAAAAAATGCATACCTGAAGAACAATATCAGGTTTGAAGGACCACAACCTTTTAGCAATTAGCTGACACAAATATATTCAGCATTTATAAAACATATATAAATGTATATAAAACATATTACTTTCTGGAGCATGCTGTACAAATGAGTACTGTGATTAAGGAATTTCAACTATCTGAGCTCTCTTGAGAAAGAGACACGTAGAGAAACCCATGATATGTGTGAAAAACAGTCACAAAGGGTCACAGATTATAAATTGCCTATGCAATGTTGTATCACGCTAAAGCATTCTTTTTCTGGAATCATCATCATTTTCCCTGTTTCTGTTGTTCAGGCTGAGAGTGCTGTTTGCTAATTGGGCCAACACACAAGATGGGTTGTAACAAGTCTCAAGGTTTGCATAAATACAAAAAAAGCAAGGGGAAACCTTTAGAGAGAGCTCAGCAGCCACAGCATGCTGATTAACTCTTGGAGATGGGGCTAGGAACCCAGGTGAAATGGAATGAGGTATTATGAAGGAAGGCGTGAATGGTTGAAAGCAGCACTCCACACTGTTGCAGGTTCCATATGTGTTAAGATTTTTGGAAATATTGACATTGTATAGCTTGTAAACATGAAACTCAATGCTAAGCTTGATACAGGGTTGCAGTGTTATCTTGTTCAGGTGTTCAGTTTCCTAATACTTTGCTGTTTTTCTTAAGGATGCACATTATTCTTCTACGAAAGTGATGGCAGATCTGGAATAGACCACAACAGCATCCCAAAACATGCTGTCTGGGTGGAAAACAGCATAGTGCAAGCAGTGCCTGAGCACCCAAAGAAAGACTATGTTTTCTGCCTCAGCAATTCCCTTGGTGATGCTTTTCTGTTTCAGGTTTGTTCTGTCCTTGGTTCATTACATAATTGTTTTCTTTCTTTGCACTTCCTTCAGGCAAAGACCCAAATGGTGTCCCAGCAGCTGAAAGATGGCACCTTCACACCTGATTATTTAGCGGCCTAATTATTTTATCAGCGGGTAGTCTTTGCTTTTGTGGCAGGTTCCAATACACTTCAGTGTCAAGATGCAACCAAATGGCTTTGTGACTTTCTTCAGCTTGGAGTTGATAAAGATCTGCTTCCACTTTCTTAGGGAGGCCAGACTCTGTTATGTAGAGCAGTCACTATGTTGTGACATATTTGGGGCACCGTCTTCTGCCACAAGGAAATAATATCTAGGATCTAAAGGGAGATGTGTAAAACGTGCAGTTAATATATTTAGGGTTGAGTAGATCTGGGGGAAATATACTTCACAGACCAATAATTCTTTATGTTGCAGATCAGGGTATAGAACACTGTGCTTCTCAGCGCAAACTAGGAACAAAGGAAGCAGCCTTATACAGAGCCAGACCACTGGTACATCTATACTTTCTCCACCATTGTTCTTTATTGACACTTAGATATTGGATATTGGCAAACAAGTCCTAATCTCTAAATGCACAGGGGCTACAAAGCCTCAGAGTTATGCTTTTGCCTTCTGTCTATCTTTTTTTAAATTAATCTGTCTGCCTTATGTTTATTTTCCTATATGCAGCGAATGAGAGTACCACAATTTACATTAAAGGGGGGGGGTTTCTTCCTTCATGCATGAAGTGCTTTTTCCAAACTGGAGTGGCTCACTTGGTTGGGCTGGGGGGTAGTACAAGAACATATGGAAACAGCATTAGTGTAATAGACCATGAAGACCCCCCCCCCAATCGTATCTACATACTTAGACTGCTGCAAAATTGTACAGATGCATTTTGTTTAGGAAACCTCGATTCTCAGAAAATAAATGTGGAAGGGGCAGAAAGGTCGCATGGAGTGCATGGCTTTTATGGCAACATAGAGCCTTATTTATTGCAAGTTCCATGCTGAGACATCAGCTTAGGTTTTCCAGTAACCTCGCATGGGAAAGAGCACAAAATGAACTTCTTTTTTTTGGAAAAAGAATGAATTAGTGGGTTCTTTTCTTTTGAATTGTAAAGCTATTTGTTTGCAGTGTGTTGGAGCCCTTCTAAATCTAAAGGATTTTGAGGCTGAAACACGAGATGGATGAGAGGGGAGGAAGAACAATTGGACATAATTATGGAAATAATTGGCAAGTTACTGTAGCCTACAAGCTTGATGTGTTGTTCAGAGAACTGCTAGAGCATGTACATCATTTGAGCTAGCAATAATATAGCCTAGCCCACATAATTCATGTACATTTAGAGTAACATGCAAACAGAATAAATAAGTTTCTTTACCGGGAATTGCTGTTTAGAATTTTCTGTGTACAAGTTCTTGATGGTTTTTTATCTCATTTACCACTCTACGTTCAGTAGAAACTGCTGATGTAACTGAATTCAAAACGATGACGACAACGGCAACAACATTAATAATGGTCTTTCAGTCCTGCCAAAAGATATTTTTCATTGTAATCCTGTTCTTGCATTTTTGCATCCAAACATGCCACACGCCTGCTACTAATTTCCTCCTCAGCCAGGCAGCTGTGATGAGGCCTACACAGAGCCATTAAATTTGAAAGTCCCTTGGTGTTGCCAGATGCTTACCGCATCTTAAAACTGCATGCTCGTATTTCAGGTGTGTGCAGTTTCTTTGTAGGCTTTCACCTTTTCTTTGGAAGGAGAGTGGCCTTCTTATTTCCAGACTTGCTGTGTAAGTCTGACCTCCTACATCTCCCCGCTCCCCAGTGCAACTTAACATAATAATAATGTCCCCTTTGTGTGACCACCCAGTCAAAACATTGCCGTAACCAAAGACTGGTTTTTTTGAGGTGGAAATCCATTATAATATTAACTTCACTCCCAGGTTTCTGTACATTTAGAATCAGGATTGTTCTGTCTGATTTCCACAGCTAAAAGAGCTGTTGTTACTATCCCGCTTGGTAGCATTGCTTGGTGAGCAAGAGTATTTTGCCTTGTGGCTCAAAATCTAGTTGCTTTCTCTTTGATGTGGGCTGCTCTCTTCATTGCTAGTTTCCCTCTTCAGCTGTAAAGCATTGGGAGTCTCACAGAGGTATTGTGGGGCTATAATAATTAATGATTATAAGCTTTCTCAGCAACAAAGCACTATAGTTTTCATTACGTTTACGATATCAGTGGGCACCATGTACATTAATTATTTTATGAATTGTAGCGGACTAACTGTGTAATTATTACGCTATAAAATATACAGGCATGCTTTCTGGTTACCTCAAGGTCTAAATCATTGTGCTCAAGGATGAGCCGAATATTATTGTAGCATTTGCGATGGGATAAAAAGCTAATTCCTGAGCCATTGCTAGGGAACCTTCCTGCAGCCAAAAAGCACTGGTGGAAGATTTTGATTCTAATGCTGATTTCAAAAGGGCAAATTAAGAGTAGAATGCCTCTTCATCACATGTCTCATAAGTGAGATGAATAGAAGTGGAATCATTTCAAACCCAGCATGTTTTAACCAACAGGATTCTACTTCTCTGTTTTTTAGACTTCTAGTCAAACGGAACTGGAGAACTGGATAACAGCAGTTCATTCTGCTTGCGCGACTGCAGTGGCCCGACAGCACCACAAAGAAGACACTGTCAAGCTGTTGAAAACAGAGATTAAAAAACTGGAGCAGAAGATTGATATGGACGAGAAGATGAAGAAAATGGGGGAAATGCATTTCCTCAGTTTGTCTTCTGTCAGAGACTCCAAGAAGAAGAAGACAATTCTTGATCAGGTAACCTCACTTGCATGCATTAAATATATGACTATAAAATAAAATTCAGGTGTCCACAAGTGTCTGCTACAGTTATTGTCCTACTTTAAATAAAATTGTTTTTATTAAATATTTTGAATTTTATAAATCCTAAAAACATAACACCAGAATAAACAACACGGTAGTAACAGAGCGATTGTGATGATCTTAAGTAGCTGGTGTAAAACTGAGGATCCATTGGACTTTCTGCTTTCTTTTTCAATTGTGTTGCTTGCGTGGGCATTGCTAATGTGGCTTCAGAATGAAGCTTCAGAAGCTTCATATATTTCTTCCCCCGTGGAGCATTGCATCTGGTCGTCTTCTGTACCTTATACTTCCAGTTTGAATTTGGCAACGTTCAGCTGACTTGACCAAAAGAAAATTTACTCTGGTGGCAAATATCTGTCTTACTATTGCAGTGGCCATTTGTAGCTGTAAGCAAGGGAACATAGGAACCTGCATTTACTGAGTCAAACCCATGGCTGGTCTTCTTCTTCGGCAATTGCTCATAGCTGAGTAAGATTGTCTTTCATGAACATGGTCTTAACAGTGAGTCCATAAGTGACTGTGGAGGCCAATTCTGGATCCATATGCCCTTCCACAGTGGGGGCATAGGTTTTCAGGCAGGAGTTGATCACGGTGAGGGTTTGCCAAGCGTGCCTTCCTCTTAGCACGTTTCTCCCTTTCGTCCTGCGTTCAAGCGTCTTCAAAGCCCATGGCACCTTTGGTATAGGCTGTTCTCCAGTTGAAGCACTTGCAGGCCAGTGTTTCCCAGTTGTCTGTGTTTATTCTGCATTTTTTAAGATTTGCCTTGAGAGAGAGTCTTTAAACCTCTTGTGTTGACCACCAGCATTACGCTTTCCATTTTTAAGTTCCGAATAGAGTAGTTGCTTTGGAAGACGATAATCAGCCATCCGCACAACATGAACAGTCCAACAGAGTTGATTGGGGTTTTTTTTTATTGCACATAATTCCTTTATTTTACTGAGATTAGGGGAAATGCAGCCATTGTACAGTGAAGTGAGCTCCAGTGTAAACCTGCCCTAAGTCAGGCAGGGATACCACATAGACTGTGGGGCAGAAAAGCAACACATGATGATACAACGAAGTTGATGTTGAAGAATCATTGCTTTTGACACTGGTGATCTTTGCTTCTTCCAGTACACTGGCATTAGTTCGCCTGTCTTCCCAAGTGATGTCTACACTGACTGGCAGCAGGGAGATCTCCCCACCCTACCTGGGGATGCCAGCAATTGAAACTGGTACCTTCTGCATGCACTGCAGGTGCTCTGCCACGGAGCTACATCCTTGTCTAAAAGCAGATTAAACAAATTCTTTGAGGATATCAATGACTGCTAATCACAATGGCTATGTATCTCCTCCTGCTTCAGAGGCCCTATGTCTCTGAAACTTAGTCGCTAAGGAACACAAGTGGAAAAATGCTATTGCATTCATGTCCTGCTTGTGGGGTTCTCATGGTGTGATACTTACTAAGGAGCAGGCCCCACTGAGTTCACCAAGCCTTACTTCTGAGTAAGTGTACTTACGATTGCAGTGTTAATCATGGAAAGGAACATATGGAGCCCCCTTTGCTGAGCTGCAGCAGCTCTTTAACCAGGCCTCTAAATGTTACTAGAATGTTAACCAAAGAAAAAATATGCAATATTATGGAGATTTCCACCCTTTTCAAAGTGTTCCCTACTAGTAATCTGCACGGCACAGGCTGATGGTGGCATTCTGCTCTGCATATGACAGATGTTAATGTATTCCCCAGTGTGCTTTATTCATTTTCTTTAGTACAATGACAAACTTCATTGCTTTTTAAGCTGCTGCTGCTGCTGACAGCCTAGGGATTTATTTATTTTTTTGCTGTAGTTCTGGTGTCTTCATACCTCTATTGTGTTTCAGGAAAACACTCTCTCGGTGAGAGGAGAATCCAGCTGCAATAAAGAGGAAATTAAAACCAGAATTTTAATGTTATTAGCATCGTATCCAAGTAATAGTTGTATTTGGATGTCTCCCCCTTTGAAAATAAAGATATTTACTTTGCTCCAACTTAGATCTAAATCCCCCTTATAAATATAATAAATTTGGACAGTGAAAGACAATTTTATAAAATCTGGTATCTATACTTGTGTGTTATTATATCGTATCATATGGACTTTAATGTTTACTTACCTCTGTGATCTTCTTCTTCTAGATCTTTGTTTGGGAACAAAACCTGGAACAGTTCCAAATGGATCTCTTTCGGTATCGTTGCTACTTAGCTAGCCTCCAGGGCGGGGAACTGCCAAATCCAAAAACGTTGCTCGCATTTGCAAGTCGCCCAACTAAAGATGCAATGGGCCGTCTTGGAATCTTTTCAGTGTCTTCTTTTCATGCACTGGTGAGTTTAAACTGATGCCAGAGGTTATTGTTGCTAAAATAGAAATCACTTGGTGCTTTTGTAAGAAGGTTAACTGAGTGCTGTTGCTGTGCAGCCTCTGTACATCTTGGTGATATAAGTCTGTTCTTGGTCTCTGCTGTCAGCAAAAAGCTGGGTACTATCTCTTTTGTCTCCAAATATTTTTAGCATTTTGGGGGTGAAAAATTTGAATCAGTCTTAACATCTCAAAGAGATAAAATTAATAATAATAATAATAATAATAATAATAATAATAATAATAATAATAATATGTTTCATATATTTTGGATGCTGGAATCCTTTTTATTTTATTGCCATTCCTTATTGTAAAGGCTATCATTCTCATTCATTGTTAATGGTGAGAACATGAGAAGAGCCTGCTGGATCAGCCCAATAGCCCACCTATTCCTTTCCTCTCACTGGCCAACCAGATGCCTGCGGGAAACCTGCAAGCAGGATTCGAGCATAGGAGCATTTTCCTCTCCTGTGGTTTCCAGCAATGGCTATGCAGAAGCATTACTTCTCCAATTCTGGAGGCAGAGCATAGCTGTCATGGCCTCCAATAGCCCTCTACTCCTCCATGAACTTGTCTAACCCTCTTTTAAGGCCATCTAGGTTGGTAGCCAAGGGACGCGGGTGGTGCTAAGGGACACGGGTGGCGCTGTGGGTAAAAGCCTCAGCGCCCAGGGCTTGCCGATCGAAAGGTCGGCGGTTCGAATCCCCGCGGCGGGGTGCGCTCCCACTCCTCGGTCCCAGCGCCTGCCAACCTAGCAGTTCGAAAGCACCCCCGGGTGCACGTAGATAAATAGGGACCGCTTACCAGCGGGAAGGTAAACAGTGTTCCGTGTGCTGCGTTGTCTCGCCAGATGCAGCTTTGTCACGCTGGCCACGTGACCCAGAAGTGTCTCCAGACAGCGCTGGCCCCCGGCCTCTTGAGTGAGATGGGCGCACAACCCTAGAGTCTGTCAAGACTGGCCCGTACGGGCAGGGGTACCTTTACCTTTTAGGTTGGTAGCCATCCCTGCCTCCCGTGGAAGCAAGTTCCATATTTTATCTCTGTACTGTACTTTCTTTTATCCGTCCTGAATATTACAGTGTTCAGCTTCATTGTATGTCCATGAATTGGGGGAGGGGGGCTTTTAGCTATCCATTTTCTCCATGCCATGCGCAATTTCATGTCACCTCTTACTTGCCTTTTCCCCCAACTGAAAAGTCCCATTTGCTGCAACCTTTCTTCTTGGGGAGTCACTCAACCACCATCAATTCATATCCCATGAGCGTATACAGATATATTATAGAAGTAGCTATCACTGAGTCAATTATTGCATAAGCAATTGCTGGAAAACCAGTTTGTTAACTATTTTAGTTGAAAAGTGGAAATAATCATCTATGGTACCTTTTACATTATTTCTGCTAGTGTTGTGATTTGCTCGTGTAAATCTTTTGGATAACAAGTTAATAGTTTTAATAATACTTTATCCAGAAAAGGATAACTGACTGGTCTCCGCTCCTTCTGAAAGAGGATAATGTATAACAAAGTGAGAAGTTATCCAGTAATGTTTGTAGTTAGCTACTTTAGAGCTGTGGCATCCTCACCACCAAACCTATTTCAGGCTGTGTAAGAGAGTGGCCTATCCCTGAGCCCACCCTCACCACAGCTGCAGCCAGAACAGAGTGGAAGGGGCAGCCAAAATGTGTCTGCGTATGAAAGGCAATTTGAATACATTCTGTTTTGCTTCTCAGAGGGGAGAAGCAGATGGAGTATGTTGGGCACCAGAGATAATCTTTCTAAGCCACCTAAGCAAGAAAGGCAGCTAAGAGCCCCAGAAAGCTAGAGAGTAGGCAGGCATGGAGACTGAGCCCCTGGAGAGAGAGACCAAGAGGATAAGGTACTGGGGGAGGCAAAAGTGGAAGTAATCTAGGAGTGAAGTAACTCCTTTTCTCTCCCCCCCCTAAAGAGGGTGTGCTTTGTTGTTGTTTTTTGTCTCAGTTTGCCCTCTAGGGGTTACTGACAGAAGTGCTGTTAACTCATAAACTCTTACAGCTAAAGGATGCTTTCGTATTAAATTGCTCTTACGCATGTTACATAGCTCTTGCCCTGGGCTCTCTCCGTAATACAGCATAGCCATACTGGTTTCATTTCCCAACTGCGCTCCTATAATAAGTCATCCTTGCCATACCTTTCGCTGCTCAGTCTTTCACAAAATGACCACATAGGCGACCTGACTCAAGAGTTGGTGATTCCACTTGGACTCACCAGTTGGGAGAAAAATCCCAGGTGTATAAAATGTTGTCCTCTGCCCAAGTGATGTTACCTTAATTTGCTTTCAGAATAAAATATAACTTGGAATTTCTGCTAGCAGTAGTCCTTGATGGAGAAAACAATCGCCCATTGTTGTTGAGAGTAGCAATTGATATTTATAAGTATTATATAATTTGTAGGATGGTAACAGAATTGCCACCTATGAAATGTATCTAGTGTATGAATGCTGATTGTAAAACATAGTTAATGTTCAGCAGTTTGTCCTAATGAATCACTGTGTTAGCATCTGGATCTAAAAGTCAAACCAAAAATGGGTTTAAACTGATAGATTTCTGAAAAGAAGTATGATGTTTGACTCAGTGCAGACCCATTTAAATTAATGAACATACTAAGTTAGGTATATTGATTTCAATGGGTATCCTCTGAGGAAAACTTTATTGATTACCACCCTATGTCTGCCCCAGTCCTCAGCACATACAAGGTAATTTTTGATTCATCATAATTTATACAAACCTCTTTAAAAATCTTGGCACACCTTAACATCTATGGGTCCTCGTTAAAATTATGAGGTCTGGCCCTCTAGCTTTGCTCTGATTGTGGTGTCTTTGGTTGAATGGCTTTTAATGCACCTTGCAGGTGGCCGCTCGCACAGGCGAATCTGGTGTCAGGAGAAGAACACAGGTGATGTCGAGATCAGCAAGCAAACGGAGAAGCCGTTTCTCTTCCCTTTGGGGTTTGGACACCACTTCAAAGAAAAAGCAAGGGAGACCAAGCATTAATCAGGTAGCCTACCTCTTGAGAGAAAAATTGCAAACTTCTTGGTTGGATCCTGAGCTCCAGCCTGTTTTTGGGGGATCTGATATAATTTTTCTACAATCTCTGAACTTTGCATTTCCACAAATACAGGAATGAAGTGTGGCAGATCTTGGTAAGCATCTTCCTTTGGTTTCCCACACAGGGTGTTTGGGGTGGTGATGAGGTCGGCACTAGTTGGAGTTACCGCTTCATAAATTGTTGGAAGTATTGCTAGAATTTCACCACAGCTTATGAGCTGCTTCTTAAGTGCACTTTTCTGGCCTTGCGTTTCTCCACTTTCCATTTGATCTGATTCCCCACACATCCCTGAATGGGTCTCAGTAGGTCGCGGTTTAGATGGGGCAACCACCCTTGTTGGATTAGACCAGACAGCCATTTGCATTTGGCTGTTTTCCTAGCCAGGAAGGAATTTTATCCAGTTTTAATTTGAGATGATAATTTCCTCCCTTGAAACACTTATTCATTTGTCCCAGTAACATGAGATCTTTCCAAATTTAGAAAGCATTTGCATCATCCTATTGTAATTTAAAATAGCACGTTCTGTGCCTCTGCAGGTGTTTGGTGAAGGAGCTGATTCTGTAAAGAAATCTTTAGAAGGAATATTTGATGACACTGTTCAAGAAAGCAAGGTAAAAAAAAAGAAGAACATCATTTTATTAATTTACACAAAGGAGTCCAATTAGCTCGTGAATCTGTTTTTAGAATGAAGCCCACTCCTTTAGGACAAAGTAAAAGTATTGAAGGGAAGAGCGAGTCATGCAGCAGCTCAGCTCTGCCAGATGTCAGCCTGTTTGAAACATGGCCAAGCGATGAGGTAGAGGGAGCTTGGCACTGCTCAGCTCCAAAGTGTGCTGCAGAGAAGGGAACTCTTAAACCTTCAGTGGTATTTCTGTGAGTGAGGCCAGTAGGTTCCATGGTCATTGGCCACTGGAGGTGGGTAGTATTCTGATTCTGTTGTTTGCCAATGCTACCATTGATTAAACCTTTGTCTGATTTATTGTATCAGAAGACCTATCAGAGCAATCATTTTTAATAGCTACTTGTTAATCAGGATTGAATTTAATTCTGCCCCTAAACCTATGTTCACACCTGTCTCTATAAATATGAGGCAGGATTTTTTTTTCTTATCAGGACATGTAAGAATGTAGTAATTGTCCTCGTGGATCAGAGCAAAGTACTTGTCTAGTTCAGCAGTCTGCCTCCAGCAGTAGTCAGGCACATGCTGCCAGAAATTTTTCACACAGGTTTCTGATAATCCCTCCTCAACAAACCCCTCGCCTCAGTTTTTATTCAGTTTTCCAGGATTTGCGCTTGTTTATTTGTTTGCGCTTGTTTATTTTGTTCATAGGGACGCGGGTGGCGCTGTGGGTAAAAGCCTCAGCGCCTAGGGCTTGCCGATCGAAAGGTCGGCGGTTCGAATCCCCGCGGCGGGGTGCGCTCCCGTTGCTTGGTCCCAGCGCCTGCCAACCTAGCAGTTTGAAAGCACCTCCGGGTGCAAGTAGATAAATAGGGACCGCTTACCAGCGGGAAGGTAAACGGCGTTTCCGTGTGCTGCGCTGGCTCGCCAGATGCGGCTTTGTCACGCTGGCCACGTGACCCGGAAGTGTCTCCGGACAGCGCTGGCCCCCGGCCTCTTGAGTGAGATGGGCGCACAACCCTAGAGTCTGTCAAGACTGGCCCGTACGGGCAGGGGTACCTTTACCTTTACTTATTTTGTTCATATGACAACTCAGGTTTTTAAAAGTTGTCCTTGACTGCTCTTCATCCTTTTTGTACTTTTCTGTGCCTTCTTTACTTTTATTTGGACTTCTATTATATTGTCTTTTAAAACAAAGGTGAGGAGCCGGTGGCCCTCCAGATGTTGTTGGACTATAACTCTCACCCCTGATCATTGGCCATGCCGGCTGGGGCTGATGGGAGTTGAAGTCCAGCAACATCTGGAGGATCACAGGTTCCCCACTTTAAAAAACAAACACAAAACATATACTCAGCCTCCCAGCTTCCAGAAGGGATTTTCAGAGAGTTTCATTTCGTTTCTGAAATTAAAGTTCTTTTTTCAGGAATTCAAGAAAAATCTGCGGAGGAATTACAGGGCTGTGTTTACTGTGTTCAAAGCTCTGTAGAGCTGAAGTAGCCATTGGGGGAAAATGGCTTTAGCTGAATATACCGGGATAATACTTACCTCTTATATGGATCCCACCTTATGGTCACTAAGATTATAATTGTAATTGCTTATTTGCCTGGAGAACCAGGCATGCAGTGGTTCCTGATATTCCTTGACACCTTGCCACAACTGTTCTCCATATTTGCCCTCTCAAGGTTTGAGCAGCCCTTTCTTCAGGGTAAGGCCCCTTCCTGCATCCAGCAATTCCCCAGGCCCCCAAATGTGGCTTTGCTCTTAATTCTGCCAAGCATAGTCTGTCCTTTTCCTCTGAAGAGGTGTTAGATTTTCATGAGGTCAAAAATACTTTGGCAACATTATGCATTTCACCACTGCCGCAAAACTATTTTGTACATGGCGAAACCTCACATTGCTTCCATATCACAAACAATAACAATGCGCAGGCAACGTGATATGTAAAGACAGGGATTGAACATTTCACTTTTATGTGGAAAATGATTTCACAGAGACCACTGCTAATCTGGGTTGATGAGGACATATAAACACACCGTTCTCTGTGTTTGATCAATGTCTACACTGTAGAGAGACTTCTGCTCTACCAATTACAGCCCTACCCTGTAACTCCCTAAAGAATACTGAGATGAAGCACCATTAAGTCTGGGCCAGGGGGCATATTTTTAATCGAGCAAATGGGGATGTGATTGCATTTAAAACTAATGAGAATTCCATACATCTGTCACTTGCTTGGAATTATATTCCTCAGGGGTCCATCTTAAACCTACAAAATAATAATAATGATAAAAAAATTAAATGCATGCAGCAGGTTGCCACTGGACAGTTCAACCAAATCCACAATGACTTTCTCACCTGCAACTCTTTTTGTTGTGAATAGTGAGAATAGTGGTGTCTCTTCTTAGATTTATTTATCCTCTTGGTTTTTGTGTGTGCATACATTCCCCCCCTGGTCCCAAGTCCAATGTATTCCAGGTGTTTTTTTGCAAGCATGCTTCCCCCTTGACTCTGCTATTGCATGTGCAATAAGGATGCAGGCATCAAATAATTGTCCTTTACCAGAGTGGATAGATGTCAAAGAAGAAGAAAGGGAGTTGGCAACTTGGAGGCCAGCTGACAATCCTCTGGGGGTTGAATTTTAATTGGTTGCCTTCAGGGAAGCCAGCTCCCTACCCGTAATATAGTGCTTTAATTTTGTTATTTAATTTGATAGAAAACAAAGGCATACTTTATGGCCCTATATTTATGTTTAACTGGCAAATGAATCAGTTGTATTTGAGCAGAATCATGTTAATAACTGTGTGAATTTCTATTCAGAGAGAAAAAGAAGTGGCGCTCACCACAGTCCACCCACATAATCCTGATTCTGACATCTGGGTTCATGAGTATTTTACACCATCCTGGTACTGCCTGCCAAATAACCAGTCTGCCCTGACGGTAGTCCACCCAGGGGACACAACACGGGATGTCCTGGAAATGATTTGTAAGGTAAAAAAAGAAACATTATAGGAAATAGATTTTTGAATTTTCTATGATTATTTGAAATTGTGATTATAGCCATTTTACTCCCCTCCCCCTCCCAGTTTCAGAGTGTTCTAACTATAATGAGCCGTCCTGTGGTTTAATTTTACCAAAAATGAAAAGTTGCAAAAGAATGCAGAACTGGATGGATTTCCCACATTTGAATGATCTGCAATCTCTGACAATCATATGTGTATGGAAATGTTTGTCATTGCACATCCTAAAGACCATTCTGAAATTCTTACTTCTTATGGAATATTTAAATTTTAAGGTTTACATTTTTATTTTATTTTGGCTTCTCAGCATTTATTTGTAGCCTGTGCCTATATTCTCCTATGCTAGTATCATTTCAGCACAAGTTTTAATAGAATTATATACACAATTGTGAGTTTGGTTAAAATTAAGATGTTCACAATCCAAGATAGTGATGTTCCGGTGCAGAGATCTGTAAATGTTTCAGTCACACTCTTTTCCACGCGTGCTGAGCTGTCCCTTTCATTTAAGTAATGGTGGAAGCTGTACACAAACAGGAGCTTATTATCTGCACTGGAACTCTTTCATGCTGAATCATTTTTATTTTGTATTTATGTATAACTTTGAGGTTTTATACACCCTCTTGCTGAGTATTCCTGTCACCTGTGGTACCCGAACTTAATGCCATTATCCACAGGAAAAGTGGGTGAGCTCTGTTGAAATGAATTTTCCCCAGAGCTTTTTGGTCTAAGTTTTAAATTTATTTTTATTCACATTTGAACAATGAACTTTGTGCCAGTGCCCTTCCAGTGTGCTTCCATTGTTTATATTTGTATATTCAGCAAAACATTTTCTCCGTCATTCAGTTAAGTACGTTCTATTACTTTTTCATGTGATTCACCTATTTTTCATCTGTATCTTCTCCATCAGTTTCCATGCTAAGCAATAAAACTTTTCAAACTTCACTCTTTTTGAATTAAAGTTTGGCATTCAGTTAAACTAAGAAAGATGTTGACAGAACTCAGGTGTGCTGTGAGTGTGATATATGCACCTCATTGCATTGCCTACCCCTGATCTATACAAACATGGAAATGGGTCTTGAATCTGCATACAAGTAGCATTTGAAATTTCCTCTAGTACTGTGACACATTCTCTATTTTCACACTTTGATTAGCCATGAAAAGTTGTATCATAGTAAATATTAGTAGGATTGTTTGTCTGCTGACTGTCACAATTTGTGAATTGTTAGTTTGGGGGGGAAAGGAGAGGGAATTTTCAGATAAAGATAACTGTTAGCTGGGTTGCAACAAATTTAACTAATCTGTTTTCTGAGTTGTAGTGTTGGATTCTTTTAAGTATGGGACAAAGGGATGCGGGTGGGGCTATGGTCTAAACCACTGAGCCTCTTCGGCTTGCCAATCAGAAGGTCAGCAGTTCGAATCTCCGTGACAGGGTGAGCTTAAATTGCTCTGTCCCAGCTCCTGCCAACCAAGCAGTTTGAAAGCATACCAGTGCAAACAGATAAATAGGTACTGCTGTGGCAGGAAGGTAAAATATAAGCCCATCCCCTGTAACATCCACTAACCAACTAATCTGAAACCCTTAAAGCAATTTGTTTAACACATTGAATCTTTCATATTCAAATGATGCCTTCAGAAACATAACTTTATGACTTTTAAAGAAAAGCCCAGTGTTGCACAGAAGGTATGAAGAAAAGCATTTATTATGGGTAATTATATATTGTATTCACTGGCAAATGAATTTCTGGAGAGTACTGACGCTCTCAGTGAGAAATGTCTCATTGTAACCAAAGGCAGATGACACTTTCAAAAAAGACACAATAGGCAACAATTATAAAATGTTCTTAGCAATCATTTTATTTTTAGAACTTTTACATAAGCAGTAAGCCAGATTCTCAGCCAACAGATACTGACTGCTCTTTTCCCTATACTTTACATTTTGTGAAGATAAATTCCTAAGCCCATGTTCTACTTCTTTTTAGGCTTTGAGCCACAAACCTATTGGGCCACAGTTGGAATTGTATTAATTTCAAGTCCACTGGGCTAAACTGATCTGTAGTTCAAGCTGTGAATCTGCTTCTTTCTGTACCAAATTATCCGCTTAGGGAAATACTTATGGTTGCATTCTTTCCTGTAACATCTAATAATAAATTCTCTCTTCTGTCTCTTGTATTCAGCTCATTCTTTTTCCTTTAATTCTCTGATCCACATCATTTCACATCAGTTTGCCACCTGCCATCTGAGAACCAGTCGAGTTCTGGTATAGTAAACATTTCATGTGAACTCCTTCATGCCCTAGATTGTGTTGTTAAGATTCCCCATGTTGTAAATCTTCCCTTGACGGCGGGAACCCAAGGGTTTCAAATGCTAGATTGAATAGATGCCCAGGATTATTGTCCTACTATATCTGTATTGATTGTCTGGGTAGTGTGCTGTGTATTGAGCATTGGGGTGGCGGGACAAAGGTAGCTCAGTGGTAGAACCCATGCTATACAGTGAAACCTCTACTTATGGACATAATACGTTCCGGAGGTTTGTCCGCTGGTCGAAACGGGACACTAGAAGAGGCGTCTTGTGCGCTTGCGCATTCAGCGGTAGTGCACTTCTGCGCAGACGCCAGAAGCCGCTTCCGCGCATGCGCGAATCACGGCAAACCCAGTGTTTACTTCTGGGTTTGCCGTGGATGCAACTTGGAACATCCGTGAGACAAGGTGTATGCAAGTCGAGGTTCCATTGTATATAAAACAGGTGAACCTCAGACCCAGAGGGTCAAATCTTGCCCCTCCAGACCTTTCAGTCTGGCCCTCAGGGATCTTCCCAGCTGTATCTCCTCTCCAGCCCTGGATGGACGATAGAGAGGGGCATGTGTAGAAACCACTACACTGTACAAACATTCACATGCTCTGCCCATTTTTGTCTCTGGCTGCTGGAAGGTTGCCAGAAGGGAATGCAGCCATTAGGCTGAAAACAGTTCCCAATTTTTGCTGGGTTTGATACCGGGCACCTCCAGTTTTTGCTGAGAATGTTTGAAACACGAAAGAAGCCACTGCCAGTCACTAAAGAGACAACACAGAGCTATACTGTAAGTGGTCTGACTTGACATAGAGCAATTTCCTATGTTCCTATTTGGGGAATCTCTAATAATGAGCTTGCTGTTTTCAAAACTAAGGAAGTTTATTGTAGGGTTCCAGAGATGATATTGTTGTTGTTGTTGTTGATGATGATGATGATAGGCATAGCAACCAACCTTTTCTTGGAGGTCTCCCTTATTCTGGGAGAGCTATGGCTTTCCCCACAAGAAAGTAAATAGTTTAGAAATTGCTGTGCATCAGCATATAGCCATTGGTATGTGTAGTTAGCCTGGTGCTGCCTGGGACACTAGTCCCTGGAGGTTCTCTTAACATGTCGGAGTAAATCTCGCTAACATGCCTTTCAGTCACCGCTTCTCCTGACAGCTCTAAAGCTGAATGAGCTGTGGAATGTACATGAGGTTTTTGCTGATTGCTGACTGACAGAAAGAGGCTGTCGGAAGGAGGCTAGTGGGTCATTGGTTCCATTCACGTGGTTTTGTTTGCCTGTTCTTGCGCTGCCTTGTCAAGTTTCATTTCTGAACGTTTCTCAAGCGGCAGGCTTTCCCAAGTCTTTTTGTTCACTGATACGCAGCAGACTTGCCTTCCAATTCCATCAACTCTGAAAACGGTTCAAATTCAGTTAGGTTTATTGGGGGAGGGCGGGAAGGAAGGGGATGCCTGTAAATGGAAAACAACCTAGAGCTTTTTGACTAGGTCAAAAACTGTGCTAATAGGCAAGGACAGATGCTGTCTTCACAACAGATTTGGAGGCAGTAGGCCACATTGGGACTGATGTTAACTCAGTGTCATATGAAATAGCTGATGTGGCTCCGATTAGAATTTGCTACAGGCCTGAGGCAAGTAATGATTGCCCTCAGGTGTGTAGATGAATGGCAGCGCTCATTTGCCCTCCCTTCCCTCCCAGATGCTGTTATGTTATTTCCCCAAAGGCCAGAGTATTGGAGAACTAGTGGGGTTTTAATTTTGAAAGAGATGCAGCCTTGCTACTTCTGCCACCGGCCTTGGGAAGAAACATTCCAATCCTTCTGTCAGCCTTTCAATACAGGAGGGGAAGCTGGGTTGGCTTTCTGTTCCACACTGAACTTTTCCTTGCACTACTGTCCTTTTACCTACTGTGGAAAAGAGTTGTGGTTGGAATACTTAGCTTCAATGAGCCAGAAGCGGCAGCTGTTTGTTCAAAGGTAGGGATAGTATGGTAGTAGTGGGACAGCCAGACATTTATTACCTTTCAGGCAGATGTGGGCCCATTCTGCAGGCCATTTTTTGTTTATTAACGGATCTTCTGTTAATTGTGAGGAGAATCAAAGAATCATAGAGTTGGAAGGGGGTCCAAGGGTCATCTAGTCCAACCCCTGCAATGCTGAAGCTGCACTTGTTTGACTTTGCTTTAGGATTCCTCAACTGCTTCAGATTTCTGAAGTAATTCTAAAATGACATATTTAATTCCACTTGTAGGGAATAAGAAGGTGGAAGTGCAAATGCCATAACATCCAGCTAACTATAACTAACTCTTTTAAAAAATAATAATAATGAGAGAATCCACATTCATGGTTATCTGTTCTGGGATAATATTATGTAATGCCTGGAATTTTAGGAGCCCTTTATCATTCAAAATTAGCAAGTATTTGATAACGTGATGGCAAACTTTGGTGAGATTCAGAAAGCAGCACCCCTGGTCTCCTACTGTATATGTCAGATTTTAGGAGCAAGCCGTTCCCTTTTCCTATGATACAATTAACTTCTTATCTACGCTAGCAGTATTTTCATCCACACTGTAGGTGAGCAGAGCTGGACTTCAGCAGGTCTTCCCACTCAGAGAAATGCTGTTATCTTTGCAATATCAAGATGGGGATAAGCGAGCATTTCTTTTCTGAGTGGTTGTTTAGACAGTAACTTTCTGGGGTTGTTTAGACAGTATCTTTATAAAACATCCTTTTAAGCAAAAAGACCTTCCCTTCATTTTACAGGAACATCTTTCACGAAAAGAAAATGGTTACTTGTGCTCTTATCTATATCTTGCAGTAACCTTCTCTCCCCCCTCCCTTCCCTCCCTTTCAGGCACATCAGCTGGATTACTCAGCTCACTATCTACGTCTTAAGTTCCTGACAGGAAACCAAATGCAATCCTACATACCAAAGCCAGAAGAGGATATTTATGAATTGGTAATGCTCACCCTTCAATCATAGTTCTGTGCAACGTTTCTTGTGAGAAAAAGACTCTTGTTGTAGTGCTTGGTCTTTTTTGGTAATTAATTGCAAGCTATTGATATTCATAAATATCAGTAACTTTAAACTGGTAGCACAAGATAATTTACTTGTGTGGCGGAACAAAAGATATTGATTCTGATATTATTGTTGTCATTATTACCACTTGAATTCTACCCTTCAAGGAGCACACAGAGGTATAAATGGTCCTCCCCTCTTCACAACAACTCTGTGGGGTAGTTTTGAGACTGCCCCAAGGCTTAAAACTGGGTGAAGATTTGAACAAAGGCCTGCTAATCCTAGTCCAACATTCTTAATTTCTATATGAGACACTAACTTTAGTAATTTACTTTTAAGCAGGGTGATAAAATTCATGGCTTGTGATTGGTGTAAATGGAAAGAAGGTGTAAATGGTGGGTCTAAGTTTTCTCAGACAGAGGGAGCATCATTGTGAAAGCTTTCGTGGATATTGAGGGGTGGTCTTTGCCAAGCAAGATGGAGAAAAGAAATGTGGATTTCTGATGCAATGAAAAAGATGGTAGATACTGACCCCCAGTGGAGATGAATAGTAGGATGACTGGATAAAGGGGAAATTATGTGCTTTTATTTCTGAGGTCAAGGCAGCAATCTTATACAGTTGTACCTTGGTTCTCAAACGCCCTGTGACTCGAATGTTTTGGCTTCCGAATGCCGCAAACTGGGAAATGAGTGTTCTGGTTTTCAAACTTTTTTTTGGAAGCTGAACCATCTGACGCAGCTTCCATTGCTTCTGATTGAGTGCAGGAAGCTGCACCTTGGTTTTTGAACATTTTCAGAAGTTGAACGGACTTCCGGAACAGATTCCGTTTGAGAACCAAGATACGACTGTATGTGCTTGCCTTGGAGTAAGTCCCATTGAGCTCAGTGGAGCTTGCTTCTGAGCAGAAATCTAGGGTTGTGGCTGAAAATCCAAACGGCTGAAAATGAAGCTTAACACTTCTGCAGAAATGCTATGAGTATACCAGAGTATACATATGCATATACTCTGGTTCATGCAGTTCAGCTTGCTCCTCAGTGTACACCCATCCCTTTCCCACCACCTGTCAACAATGACATTGTGAACCAGTATTTACGGTAATTTAGCAGTACGATCTGCCAAGTTACTATTTTTATTAAATTTGTATACTGCCCTTCATCTGAAGAACACAACATAACAATACAAAATGAAAAACGCAAGATTCTCTTCACATTGCTGCGGTTCTTCTTTAGACATCTTTGTCTTCACTCTTAATTTTAAAAGAACACTGTGTGAAAAAATAACAACTGACAATATATGTCCTCACAACCGACTCTCACTCTCTCTTTTTGCATTTTCAGTTGTATAAAGAAATTGAAATCTGTGAGAAAATTACACAGCAAATTCGGATTGAAAAATCTGACACGTCGTCTGATAACTATGGTGAGTTTGACATATATATATATATATATATGCCTTTTCATATCTAAGCATGCTTTTAAACACATCTTCAGAGGATTTATTGAATAAATCATCTGTGGTCAAATCTCAGGACTGTCATTCCCATAGCTGTCACAGTGTGCACCTCAGTATTAAGTCTTCTAATGAAACATGGCAAATTTGCCATTTTTGTCTTGCCTGAAGTGGTGTGCTAGATTTTCATGGGGGTTGATTTTAAGTGCAAAGGCTGGCCATTTCAAGAGCTGAGTCCTTCCAGGAAACAAGCCTCTCTTTGCTAAATAAATAAAGACTTTTCACACTAAGCAAGTCACAGCATCATCCCCAAGAAAGACTTTTTTCAAGGGCTGCCTTTTCTTGCAGCAGAAGCTGCCTTGCGCCATTCTGCCACTGTATTTGGCCAGCTGTTAATTGGATCCATTTAAAGATATTCATTTATTGTAAATGACTCTTGTGCCACTTTTCAGGATCAAAGATTACCCCAAAGCAGCTTAGAATAAAGCGATCACAAACAAGAACAATCAAACAACATTATTAACTGTACAGCAATACATAATTGTTAAATGTAAAAGTGAACAGAGCAATAGAAAATTAAAAATAGCATAAAACCATCAGGGTTAAATTACTTACACTTTTAATTACTTGCCCACGTGAAAGTAGCTTACGTACATCTAACAGAAATTATGTGTTGGTCATTAGCAAATAAGGTTGCCATCTTAACCCAACTTACCTGGGAGTAAGCCCCTTTGTATTCAATAGGACGTACTTCTGAGTAGTTATGGTTTAGCTTGCATTGCAATTTATTAAACCTCCCTCCTTTTTAAAAGTATGTACAACTACAGACTTCTTTGTTATGTAGACACCACCTAGTGCTAGTCACCTGAACCCAACCAATATTTGCCTTTATACCCCAAATATTCATCTCTGAAGCTGTGATAATTCAACGGTCTCCTTTTTTCCTGCTGGTCTTCCATTAGGCACTCCTGTTCATAGTGAATATATTATCTAAGATTACCCTTTCTTGCTGGCTTTGAATCTCTAAACAAAATGAGATTTCTGTATTTCTTGGTACACAATGATATTCTACTGTCTTTTCTTTGTCCTTTCTCTTTCGAAAGTGATGAATGAAAGTATCTTTCCCTCTACAAAAATTACTTTGAAGGCAGTTTGATTGAGAATTGGATCCTATCACATCTGCTTCCTTATAGCTAATGGCCAATACTATGTTAAATATATTTCCCCCAGGAGGGTCATAAATATTTTGCTTAATAAACAAAAAGGCAAGCTGCTGCCTACATCTCCCTAGGAAGCCATCGAATTTCAGAGCAGCAAATGCCTCGTTTTAGAGAAAGCAATAAATAATGCATGATAGTTAACATGTATTTACATCCTGCATACTTTGGAGCAGATGATACAAACGGAATGCACCTCGAGGCAGGACAAAGTCAAATGCAGATATCAAGTATGATGCACACGTCTAATCCAGGTGTTGGCAGTTATTTTCCTGAAAAAACATTTCCCTGAAACACTCTGTATCTCTGCGTCTGTTTCCCTTTCTCCCACCCCCACAGTTTTAAATATATGTGAGCCACTTGTGCCTTACCAGATTTAGAAAAAGTATAATATGTGGAGTGGTAACATGGCTTTAATCTTGGTCAGGCCTGTGTATTACACAATTCAGTGTAAGTGAGATCTATGTTTTGCTTAATATAGTCACTTTTTTCTCTGTGTATCATGCACGTGCAGAATCCGGAAAACAGAACCATAATATTTTGCCCCAAACAAATAAAAAAAAAACATGTATTATTGTTGTCATCATGGAGTGTGGTATTCTGTTTTAGAGAGCAACTTGCATAGATTATTTCCATACAGACTATATGAATAATGGTGGGAGTTTGGTAAAATTTGACCACGTAAAGAAACGGTTTTACTTGATTAAAGCAAAGTTAATGGAAGGGATCTTTTTGTGAAATTAAATCAAATGGTTCTCAGTTTTGCCACTGGGTATTTCAACAGGCTTTTCTCTGTCCTCTGTGGAAGAAGAGGGGATTCGGCGGCTCCATGTAAACAGCGTCAAAGAGACAGGCCTGGCTTTCAAAAAAGGTAGGGTGCCAGGGGGTGTTGTATTTCCCTTTAAAACTTTTTCAGTGAGCAACAAAAAAAGCCCTTTCCTCTTTCTGCTATTCAAGATTATACCAGATCTCCATTGCACCTAGGACAAAAATCATTTAGGAATGGTGACAAAAAGTGTAACTCTGGTACCTTCCAAATTATGATACTGTTCAGTCCGTCTCTTAATTTTAAAAGATGAATTTATTGTAAAGCTGGTAACACAGTTATGTTGAAGGTTGACTATACAGTGGTACCTCGTATTATGTACTTAATCCGTTCCTGAGGTCCATTCATAACCAGAAACAGCTCATAACATGAGCTGGGCTTTCACTAATGGCTTCTCCTGCTGCTGCCACACCGCTGGTGTGTGATTTCCGCTCACATCCCGGGGCAAAGTTCACAACAAGGGGCATCTACTTCCGGATTAGCAGAGTGTGTAACCCAAAGCATTCATAAGGGGGACAGTATGTAAAACGAGGTACCACTGTACATCTTTCTGGACACTGAAAGTTGATATTCTTCCCTTTGCTGCATCTTTATATCTTGTGATGCTTTTGTTTCATGTTGATATAGGAGAAATAACTCAAATGATCACAAGAAGTAACCTCCGAAGAGGGTTGGGGCAGGGATAAATCACATTATGGTTACTTCTTTTTCAAATATCTATCTACATGCATGTTTTGAGAACATGAATATCTTAACGTGAGAACTTTGAAAACTGGACAGCAATATACATTTCTTTTGAAATATTTTTTTTAAATTATGACATTTATCCTACCATTGGAAACCTTCACACAATCATTACAACATAATTTTAGTATTCTTGCAAAACTAAATAAATTAAAAGGGGCTCAGCTCTCTGTTCAGTCATGAACTGACATAATGCTCTTGGGTGAGTTACTTACCTTTCTTGGTTTTAGTTTTTCCACTTGTAAAATGTACATAATTCTTATTTTCTAATAAAATGATTGAATGGACAAATAAAATCAAGATTGTAAAACATGGAGCACAGTACCCAGAATGCTTCCATTCTGGACTGAGCCTCATGTTGCCAGACACACTTGGCTTGGCTGGACTGGGCTGTTGCATCATTACATCACATCTTTGTGGTTTGTGCCCTAAAAGGGGTTTTCAGTAATGAAAAGTTTATTGTTTGAAAGAAATAGCACATAGGCCAGAATTGGCCCTCCAGATGCTTCTTGACTCCATCTCCCATCATTCCTGACTGGGGCTGATGGGAGTTGGAGTCCCACAACATCTGGAGGACTGCAGGTTAGCCAACCCTACGTTAGGCAGACATGAAATCTTAAATGCTGAATAGAAATCCAACTCTGATGGATAACTTTGAGTATGACTCTTGATTTTCTGCTTTCTCTTTGCAGGCCTGAAAGCTGGTGATGAGATCGTTGAAATCAATAAGAAAGCTGCTGAAGACTTGAATTCGGCCATGCTAAGAGATGTTCTTGTTCAGCCTTCTCTGTGCCTTACAGTACGGACTTATCCTGAGAGACAGGCAGGGCAGAAACTAATGCAGCTGCCACAACGCCGCACAGATGGTTCACTCGACCTGACCGACAGTCCATTGCGCTCTGTTGGCAATAGCCAAGGTACCCATGTTTACTAGCATTGTGGGCTTACATTTTTGAATCTTCCAACTCTTCAGTTCTATAAAAGAGACTTGCTGCTTTCAAAAACAGAAGCTGCTGCAATTTTAAAGGATACTTTTTTAAAGCTTTTAATCTTATGTTTCTCTTGCGGTGTCTTCCTTCACCTCTCTTCCAAACATCATTTTTTTTAAAAAAAAACACTTCTTCACGTATACTACTGCAAGGCAAACCTCATGCAAACATTGATACACTTAAAAAGTTCCAAACACTGCTTAGTTTTGGGGCTATGGCAGCTTTCAAAGATGTCTCTCTGTTTTGCCACAAGATGTCAGCAGTGTCCTATGTGAAAGCGGTTCTGTGTAGGATTCATTTGTCCACTGAACATGCTTGGTTAATAACAGAACAAAGATGAAAATGTTTTCTTAATGATGCAGTGAGGAATGGACCTTTCTCTAGCCAGCTAACATGAATAGGGGAGTCAGTTGCCTGTGAACATGCAGTTCATACTGACTGAGGAATTAGACTCCGACAGCAGCCGTTCAAAGCATGTCCTTGTATGCCCACAGACTATAGCATCTTTCATACACTACTGTGTTCACCAGGAAACTTGCAGTATCCTAGTGGCAAAACAAGCACAAACAAATCCTAAGAAATATGCTTTTTAAGTCATTGTGGTCCTAAATGTTCATAGTGAAATAAGAGTTCAGGTAAGAAAGGAAGGGAAGTAATGGATTCACCTTGTTTGTGTGAATATTTTACCAGAAAAGCCCAGGTTCTTCCCAACAGGCCGTTTGTACAAAATTTGGTTGCTATCCTACACTTTCTAAGCACCATTTTCTTGTTACTTTTCAAGCTGCAAAAAGTATTGAGAGAAAGTGATCGGAAATTGTAGTGGAAAGTATGGGATAACTAGCTGTGCCGTATCACCTATGTGTGAAAACACAAGCTCAATAAGCAGCTAGACAGGAAGCTCCCCAGATCTTTCCTTTTTCTGCTTTCCAGCACAAAAGATAAGGCTTTTTCATGGTAGGAAAGATAGTCACGAACTCTGGGATATCACTGATGTTTGCAACTTCTGCAAAAAAGAAGAAGAAAAAGAGCAGCAGCAGAAGCACAATTTAGTCTATGGTTGAGGTCAGTTGAGGAACAAGATATTTGAAGCGTAAGGTAAAAACTGAGGAAAAGGAAAAGGGGGAGAGGGAACTGACCTGCTTGAGCCCTGAACAGGATATAATCTCCTGGAAGTGTGCATTAGGTTGGAAGAAGGAACGTGCTTCCATGGTTGACCCCTATCCCCATGCTGTATATCAGCAAAGCACCAAGGTGCAGGAACATCAGCCAGCCTTGTTCCTGGGCCCCTTTGCACTGCATAGCATAGGGAGGGAAAGCTTCAAGAAGCAGGAAATGAATTTTTAATAACATTCATTCTTGTTTTCAAATCTCACTTTTTAAGGATTCCAGAGTGAACGTTTTGTAGCCAGCAGAGTTTAAAGCTACACTTTTTTATTTTTTATTATTTCCATTTATTGAATTTATTTTCTGCCCCATACCCGGGGGTCTCAGGGTGGTTACTTTCTGTGAAGTAGCATTGTTCTGGCCATGTCCAGGAAGCTTCTTACATGACCTACTGCACTGTCAGATGCTCCTCACTGAGGGCAGTATATTATCCAAGCCAGATAGTAACTTGAATAATTCATGTGCGTAAATCCCTGGTGCAATTTTGGTTGGGCATGGTTCACACATCACACTGAACAATAAATGAAGCTGCAGTTTCATGTGAACAAGAAGCATGCAGTTGCACACTGTTGAATGTGTCTTTTCCAGAGTTTCATAGTACTACAGGGTGCCATAAAAAGTTTTTAAAAGGTGAACTGTAAACATACACTACTGCACTGTGTTTAAATAGCAATTGTAAAAATATATGGTTTCATTAAATTGATAGGGACAGCTCTGTGTGTGAGTGTTTGTTTGTGTATGTGTGTACATGCACAATAACACATGACTCATTTTTATTTGTGACACACAGTTTTGGTTTTAGGAAATTTTATTGAATGTTTTTGCATTACTTTTTTTGTAAACCACTTAAGGATTTGATGATATCAAGCAGTAGAAATTATTTGTACACACAAACATATATTTTCCAATAAATAGATGCAGACAGTAAAAAGCATTCCATGTGTTCAGCTGTTCACTTAAGGCCCAAATGAACATTTGCTTTCTATCTGGGACTGGAGTCTATACTGCAGGAAGTAGATTAAGGCACGTTTTTCCTATAACAGGAAAGAGGGCCCAGATAACTATAAAAAGTATTAGGCTCATCAGAATAGGGTGAGATTCCACAAGGCTTTAAAGGGACTGTTGATCATAGTCGACAAAATGAAGCTGCTCAAACAAGATTGGATATGTTGGTGGCATTTTAAAGAATAGGTACTATTTTGATTAAATACTGAAATCTATTATTCAAGTAATATATTTTCAGTGCCATGGTGTTAGATTTTTTATAATTATTTAAAAACTATTCTCAAGTAATCAAGCCAGTTGAACAATTGGGGATTTTACTTCAGCTTTGATATCAATTATTTGAGGTATCTTCTTGATTTGAGTCATATATGAAACAAATACACCATTGTTCTTGCTGAGTTTTGCTCTCTTCAGCATGTTGCATCAACAGACTTAAAACTGACATAGCAATGGTGAGTTTGCCTATTATATCAAATAATATCAATTATTATATCAAATTTTCAGGTTCTTAAGAAACAATTTGCCAGCAGAATGTTAAAAGCCTATGGCATGTACCAGTGGATCACATGGCAATTTGCATGGTGCATTTGGCAAACTGCTTGTTCATTATGTATTTATTTAAAACATTTGTAGCCTGCCTTACCTCAGCAGAACTCAAAGTGGCCAAGGACAATGAAATTAAAAGAACCATTTAATGACCAATAAAAGCAGTACTGTTGTGCCCATCCGAGATACAGTATTTTATTTTGAGCTCTTCAAGGTATTTCTGGAAGCATTATATGAACATAATGTATTACTTATTGGAGCAGAATCTAGGTAATTTTAAATATATATCTAGTCATCTCATGATTACTGCTCCCATTCCCGCAGATCTAGTGTCATAAATGTTTGTTATTTAATGCAAGCAACACTACACACAAGGCTATGAAAAATACCCAGTTTTACTCTGACCCCCACCCCCCACCCCACTCCAATGTGTACTTTTTGCAAATAGTAATAGGCTCCATTAATGGCAGTTTCAAGTGATCTAAGTGAAGTGCTCTAATAATGGCACTGGAGAGCGAAAAGGTGTTTGTGTTTGCTCATGACATAACAGTGTTTGCTGTGTTGCACTTCTGAATTGTTGTTCAACCCATTATTTCTCACTTCTGTCTCATCCTAACAGGACACTTGTTCTGCAGTGATCAGGACAGCTGTGCTGAGACAACTCCAGAAGAGGCAGAAGTGCATGTCTTGGAGTCCTCCAGTGAGGGTGATAAAACTGGCAAGGTGTGAAACTTTCATTTTCACATTGTAAATAGCTGCAGGCTAAAAGCTGGCATGCTGACTTCACAGCTGTGTGCGATTAGAGCGTCTCTTCCAGGATAATGTTTACCTTGGGGTGTTTTTTCTAAGGTGTTTACATGATATGGAATGAACCCAATTAGAGCCTTGATTATAGCTCGACACCACCTGCTGTACCCAAATGCTCCCCCTTCGCCCATCATGGGTGGGTGTGGTGTGGTAATAATGATCTTCAATATAAAACACTACAGCCCCTTTTCTTTGGTTGTGAGTCTCCCTGAATGCCACAGTAGGCTTGCCACATTTTCAGATGCACCCCTGTCTCTGCTTATAATTCTTAATATATGATATGCTCAAATATGTTTTTGCTTATTGCAGAGTTTTCATGGTGGCATCCTAAATGGAAAGAAATGTTAGGTGTTCTACCTTTTGATTGCAGTGGAACTCAACAATTAAGTTAAACTGACCAAACAACTGGATTATTAATTGGGATGCCCATCCCAATTGGGAGCTTATTAACACATGAGCATCCTAGTTTATTTTTATGGGTGCCCTGTGAAGACAAGGTTGTTGTTTTTTTGTAACTGTGTGTGCAAAAATACAATTCAACTTTAAAAGGACAAGCATTCCAAAAGTTGTTTGATGAGGGCTTTCATTTTGCACTTCACTGAAAGCATGTAACCCCTTCATAATTTTTCTGATAATTAGTAACAGATAAGTTAAGTAGGTCTGAGCTTCCTTTTGTGTTCCTGTATTGCAATGGTTCCCCCATAATAGTTTACTAATTACAACTTCTGCCTGAAGACAGCTTCACATATTACACATTTATTAAATGAATGCCACTTTTTGTGAATGAAATTCCACGTTTGTAATACATGCAGGTTGTCACATGTGACAAGCACTTTAATGTTTATTAACACAAGGCAGGAAGCTGAATTTGGTGGTATATCATTGGGGGGTGTACACGTAAAAAAATAAATGTGTGTGTAATTATCATATGTGACTATATTTATGTGGGTTACATGAAATATCCAATCTCAAAATTGTATCCAGGTAAGAAATTGATCTTGTGGGAGGTGGCTCTTGGTTACGAATTAATCCACAAATGGTGTTGTTAGGATATCATAGTGGAAAGGAAGGAAAAACCTCATGGCCTCAGATTTCCTGCCCCTTTGTCTAACTAGCCTATAGCCCTTCCTTTGATAGCTAGACAGTGGAAGTCTGCTAGCAGGAGGTATTCCCAAGCTTGAAGCAGCTGCAAAATTGCATCAGCTACTAGAGCTCAGATGCAGAGCTCATATGACAAGCAGGAGGCTGCTGAAGTTTGCACTCTGGTTTCCTGCAGGACCTATTATAGTAAGTGATGCTGGGTGGGTTTTCTGGCTTAGAAAAGAAGGGAAGTTCTGACCTCTAGAGGTATGTAGATCTTAAAATGTTAAGTCTGGTCTTTGCTGGATTAATAGGTGTTTAGAAAGGGTATGTCTCATTTTTAAAAGTAAGTAGTATGGAAACTGGTTCATAGTTTTAAAATATTCTTATGTTGCATGTTGGTGTTTGTGCTCTTATCTAGATTTTTACATTTTGCAAACTACAGTAGTCATGTCCTGAGGTTTCTTCTTTCAGCTGCAGATGTGTTAGATCAGTGGTCCCAAACTTTCTCCCCCTTAGACCACTTGAATATTGCTGATGGTCTTGGTGGAATCACTTAATTATTATTCTGCTTGTTGTAGCAATTGCAGTGCACTTTGCTGGATAAAGTATTATTTTTAATTGTATGTTTATGCTTCTTTTGTTTCGTATGTATACTGTATTTCATTGCATCACAATTTGAATTCTATAGAATTCAGATTGTTGTGCAATAATATAAGAAATAAAAGAATCAATAAACACACAATTAGGAATCAATATGAATATTTAATGTGGACATGACGTGGACCATTTAAATGAAGCTCGGACTACTGCTGGTCCACGGACCACAGTTTAGGAACCCGCCTCTTAGATAAAGATATATTTTTAAGGTTAATAAATATGTATATTAGGGGAAATGCAGTAGCTTGTCAGCTCTATGTAGCAAAACATACATCGTTGATGACCAACTTTCTTAAACTAGCTGAGTCATTAATACTCAGTAGACGAGTGTAATACCTTTCTAACTTGTGTAATCTCTTCTGTAGCAGAAGAATACAATAAGGAATGGAAACTTGCTTTGTATAAATGAAATGCCATTTATTTGATGTGCTCTTAACATGCTGAAATGCATATTTTGTGACATACTTTTGAATTCATTCTGGATTTTTATTAATGGTTTTAAAGGTGTGTGTTTACACTGCTTGTTTAACCTGTGTTAAAGGTGTGTGTTTACACTGGAGAAAGCATTGCAAATGAATTCATATTTTGAGTTGAATAGTTCATATATAATGCTATACTGCATAGCACAATAGCACTCAGCACATTCTTCCTGTATTCTTATGTGATTTATGACTCTTTAATAACAAAAGATTATAGGAGCTCACTTGATTAACCTTATGTGGGTGTATGCTTGAAAAGTGGTTCTTTTACGTACTTCATTCCTAATTCTATCTTAGCATTATATTTGTGCTGAATTAAATCGAAGCTTTCCAGCAATAGCACCTTCCTTGTACAACACTAAATGTGCTTTTGTACATCTACAGTTAGATTTCTACTGCAGACTATGTTATATCAGTTGCATCATTAGTCTTCGTAGGACAGTGTTTCTAATAAGCCTTAAATGCCTACCCAAAGTGTTTATTAGCCGCCCTGTACCACACATAGTTAGGTCAGTAGTATAGAAAAGAACAAACCTTCTTAGGCTTGATCCAGGCTTGGAAGTATGGTGTGTGTGTGTGTGTGTGTGTGTGTGAGTGAGTGAGAGAGAGAGAGAGAGAGAGAGAGAGAGAGAGAGAGAGAATGGTATTCATTTATTAATTTGGGACAAAATTGATGTACTGCAATATAGGATGAAGCTGGGAAAAGCAAACCTCTAGAAGGAAGGATTTGGTTGACCTCTCATCCCAGTGATGTTTCCAACTGCATCTCTTTGCTTTCTGCCAAAAAAACCAATCACACTTTAACAGCATTGTGCTGTTCAATTCACATCTGACTGGGGGTGGCCTGGCTGTCACTGAGACGCTCCCTGCGGGAGGAGAACCATTGCATTATCCTGTAATACACACGATGTACATATATGTACACACAGATGGGTTGAATTGGTACCCATGAAAATGTTTTTGGGGGTGGAAAGGAGATTTCAAGAGCCTGAAAAGTTTTATATAACCCCCCCTTGCTTTTCCAGTATAGCCCCCCTCTTTTGGGGGCTGCTTCTCTCCCCAATCCGCAGGCTCAGTATAATTTAAAGCAAGCAAACGAAAAGCTCAAAGGGCTTCTTCTTTAGAGAATCTGAGCCAGCCAGGGATCACATGGCCATCACGATAACAACCTGTCATTACAGCCCATCAGATTGGCTAAGTGACAACACCATGGTGCTAATTCAGAGCAAGAGCAAAAAGCATTGTCCATACTCTGATTTGGTTTTCTGTCTTTCTTCATTCATGACATAGCCAAATCTGGTTTTCTGCATGAAACCTGTTCAGTCTAATTTTCCTACATAATGATATCACAAAGCTAAATTAGAGTGTGGATAGTACCCACTCTGAATGGGCAAATATATTTTGTACTACTCATTCCCGAAATGAGCTGTGCTGATTTGGATGTGTGGGTGTAAAATGCACCCTCTGCCCTGTTTTGACTTGATATTTTGATTTCAAATCCCCTTTTGGGGAGAAAAAACTGCTGGCCGTTTGTTGCCTTTCATCTAAATTAAGGCAGCTGTATCTTAGCACTGCAGCTAATTAGCTAGCAATAGTAGCAAAGAGTCATGATTTTTGTTCAAATTATCAAAGTATTTTGAACATGTTTCCCCCTTATATTTTAGCAATGAAGGACAGTCATTTTGTTTCTTGCATTCAAAGCACATTAATTACGTTCTCTCACCGTCTACTAGTATGATTTGTAAAATATCTTACCTAAACTTCTTACCAGCTATTGGCTTTCAAAGATTTCTAATTGGCAACCTGCTTTATTTCTGGAAATGTTAATATTCTTGTGCAGCACAGGTTGTAGCCAATCAGCTCTCCGGAGCCTCAGGCAATAGACATTTATTTTCCACCGGGGATTTTGCTTCTTCCTTTCAAGTTTAAGCTGTCCTTGCTTGAGTACTTTTTCGAAAGCTCCTTGAAAGGGAGAATTAAGGATTGACTCTGCAGCTTAAATCAGAGAATTTCATTCTAGTTGACTCTATTGAGCGTGTAAAGTCTGAAGAGGAATACAAGAGGAATCCGGTAGCTGCCCATTCTCATTAACATGCAAGAAGGTATCCAGCAGTCAGGAATACTATGAATTGGAATGAGAATATGTATTTTTTTTTTTACCCATAAAGTAGGTCAAGAAATCTCGATGTGGGGTGTGTCTACCCTCCATCCATTTTTTATTGCTGAAAATGGCGAATAATGGTATTGTCAGAGTAACATCGTTTTGGTGATGTCAGTTTATTGGAGAGTTAAACGTAAGCCCAGAAATGAAGGCACTGGGAGAGCTTCTGATTCTCTTCGGCATATGCTTCATATGGTGAGATCTACCATATAGCGGAAATAATGAGAGAATGTTATGTTGTTATGCTGCATTTTAAAGGAATAATTGGCTGATGCTATCAAAGCAAATTGGGTGATTTTCCAGGTCTTGCCTTGAACGTGCAATAATCTGGGTCACCAGAATATCACACAAGGTGAGATGGGGGTGAAATTTGTTATCCAGCTGAAAGAACATTAAATAAGCAGTGAAATTTGAGATTCAGCTGTTTTATAGTTGGATGAGGTAGAAATCTTGGGGAGCAAAATGTTATTGTATTGTGGAAAGGGGGGGAGCATTTTTAATGTGGCTTTTATTGGTCCTTGGGTGCATCCAATTCTGCAAGCCTAAAAATGCAGATTATGGCCAACCGAAGTGAATGACAATTTGGATCTCCAGCAATTACTACTTCTCTTTAAAATATGTAATAAATGCTGATCTTTAATACACATATTTTTCAAGAAAAGATCCATATTAGTGGATGAGATAATTATTGCTTTTACTATCAGTTAACTTTAAAGATATGTGATTAAGCAGGTCTCAGATGAAGTAGATTCCTGCCTATGAAAGCTCATGCTTATAGCAGCTAAGAATTCCATGTACAGTTTTTCGGTTGTATTTTGTATCTTTGGCATGTTAAAGAATCACGTGTTGTTCCTTCTGGATATAATAGCAGGCAATTTGTCTAAAGATAGAAAAGTTTGTGTAAAAACTTCTGAAAATGGTTATGAACCGGTATTTGTCAGGATATTGACGTGTCCTGTCAATAAGTCCATGATTGTAGTTCTCTTTAAAACTTGTGTTTGTGCTTTGATGTCTTGTGTGTCAAACGGTTCCTCTGTGTGGGGCTTGGCTTTATGGGTGACCACTGCAATTTGCACAACCATGGTGGTCCTTTTTCTAAGCAATCAAAATTGTGTTAGGCATGTCCATATAACCCCTGCTGGCTTATAAACCGTCTGGCCTCATAAGCCTTTTGTCATGTATTTAAATTCATTGGTCTTCATGGAAATCACACACAAAAAACCCCACAATATTCAATAAGGCAATAGAGCTCTGTTTGTGGTTCAGCAAACCATAAACTTCACAATCAAATGCAAACTTACAAGACTCGGTGGAATATGTGTGTATATTACATACACATTGTATGATAAACACATACACACACATATTGCAATATGAAATAATATTTTCATAAGCTATATAACTTTTATTGGGTCAGTGTTGTGTGTGTGTTTTTAGCTTTTTGTTAGCACAAGCTAAATCCTGCAAAGATTCAGTAGGAGAGAGTCTCTAAAAATAACCTTGTGCTGAAGTCTCTGTTTCAATTACTCAACCTTACCTATCCCACACACCAATAAACAAACTCAATTGCTTTCTGGTTTCCTACATGCCTTTGATATGCTCTCCTCTCCAAGGGGCATATGGTAGCTGGAGAGGTTCAGTTGGTCCTCATGATCTGTGGATGATTAGGATACATTTCCCTCTTCTAAGAACTGGAACCAGAAACACCCCTTCCAGTTCAGATCTCCATATTCCTTGACCCCAACAAAAATGCTCCTGTTTACTCTCCTGGTATATTGTAGAAATGGAGTGTTGGAAGGGACCCCAAGGGTCATCTAGTCCAACCCCCTGCAATACAGGAATCTTTTGCCCAGCATGGGGCTTGAACCCTCAACTCTGAGATTAAGAGTCTCATGCTCTACTGACTATGTCCTGCATGTGTTGTGCTTTCCTGCTCTTGAGCTTATCAACTAATACAGTGGTGCCTCGCAAGACGAAATTAATCCGTTCCACAAGTCTCTCCGTCTTGCGGTTTTTTCGTCTTGCGAAGCACGGCTATTAGTGGCTTAGCGGCTATTAACGACTTAGCGGCTTTAAGAAAAAGGAAACAAACTCGCAAGAACTCGCAAGACGTTTCATCTTGCGAAGCAAGCCCATAGGGAAATTCGTCTTGCGGAATGACTCAAAAAACGGAAAACCCTTTCATCTACCAAGTTTTTCGTCTTGCGAGGCATTTGTCTTGCGGGGCACCACTGTAATAGGCTGTGTAGAAACTCTTGCTTTGAGATTCCTCTTCTTCGGTTTTCTTGATATCAGATAGTGGCTACAATCTTCCAACCCTCTAATTGACATTTCTGGTCAGCAACAATCTACAGTGGTACCTCGCAAGACGAATGCCTCGCAAGACAAAAAACTTGCTAGACAAAAGGGTTTTTTGTTTTTTGAGCTGCTTCGCAAGACGATTTTCCCTATGGGCTTGCTTCGCAAGACGGAAACGTCTTGCAAGTTTGTTTCCTTTTTCTTAACACCGTTAATACAGTTGCGACTTGACTTCGAGGAGCAACTCATAGAACGCGGTGTGGTAGCCTTTTTTGAGGTTTTCGAAGACTCTGGTGATTTTTGAAGCTTTTCCAAAACTTTCCCGACACCGTGCTTCGCAAGATGAAAAAAATCGCAAGACGACAAAACTCGCGGAACGAATTAATTTCGTCTTGCAAGGCACCACTGTAGCTTATTGTCAGTTCTTCTGGACCTTTCTGTTGTTGTTGTCATATTAATTAAATTTGTATACTGCCCTTCATTTGAAGGTCACAGGACAGTTCATAACATAAATCAATAGCCCCCCACCCACCAACACATTTAAAAAGCCATAGAAGGTTAATCAAGCAAACACCTGGCATGTAAAGATAAATAATGATGGTGCCAAATGAGCCTTCCTGGGGAGAGCACTGCACAAATGGATAGCCATCTCAGTGAGGTCCTAATCCATTTCAGGTTTTATAGGTCAAAGCCAGAACTTTGAATTGGGCCCAGAAACTTAATTGGCAACCAGTTCAGCTGGACCAGAATTGGTGTAATATTCTGAAATTGTCTTCTCCCAGTGAGCAACCTGGCAATTCTACACCAGCTGAAGTTTCTGAACCGTCTTCAGAGGCAGCCCTACATATAACTTGTTGCAGTAATCTAACCTAGAGATTACCAGAGCATAGAGAACAGAAATTAGGCTATCCCTGTCCAGATAGCGGTGCAGCTGGGCAATTTCTGCGTTGTGGAGTGCCATCCTGCCCCTTTCCCTCAGAAACAACAAAATGGCAAATGAGGTAAACAAGCGGGTGGTAGTAAAACCTGTCAGTTTAAAATAAAAGGCATATTCAGTGTCTTCTCTGCTTGCCCTCCTAGGAACAATCTTGTGTCAAGCAATTCTAGCAAACTCCTAAGGGTGTGAATATCTCAGTAATTGGCATCTCAAACCTGGACATTTGAGCCAGCTCTCTTACTGCGACATCTGAATAACATTTCTGCACTGTTGATATAACCTCTTGTGAAGTTATGCTGATGCAGCAGTTGGTAAACCCTGTCCTAAGCAGCTATTTCCTAGTGCAGCAGGCTTCAGGACTGGGCTTGTAGCATGCTTTAATTACCTTGTGTACAGCATCGCATAGTTCCTTTAGAAAAGTAATCATGTGTAATTTGCATTCTTCTGGTGTCGATGTAATATGCCACATTTTGCTTTAGAAGAGCCCGGTAATTTGAAGTGCTTTAAATCGGAGAAACAATGATGATAGCTTAAGCTGGACATTTCAATGGGACTGGTAACGATGGCACCATTGTTTCTGGCAAATAACATCGGCTATATGTGTGTTTTTAATTTTCAAGAGCACAGAACAGGTTGCTGCTTTTTGTCGCAGTCTTCATGAGATGAATTCGTCTGACTCTTGTGTGACCCCTCAGGAATTTACTGGGCCTCAGCAAGCCACTACAAGACAGCTAACCGATGCTGACAAACTGCGCAAGGTTATTTGTGAACTCCTTGAAACAGAACGCACATATGTCAAGGTGAGCTGCTGCTTTTGGGAAATGCTTAATAGTCATGTATAAAAGGCAGTGTGGAGGGATGCGCTCACACTGAAAGGGGCTTGATCCTTTGTGTGTGCTCCCCTGAAGCCTGCACATAAAATGCATGGACAACTGGACTGTCCACTGTCTTCCATTGTCTTCACCTGCCCACCCCATGGCCTGAAAACCTTGGCTGATGCAGGAGAAAGGGAAGAAGCAGACACAGAAAAGCACTTGGGACTGCGCATCCTAGCATCCCTGCGGGGAAATTGGTACAACCCTCAGTTTCCCACAAGTGATGCTGGAATGTGTAATCCTCACAAGGGCATGGGTGCTCTGAGCATCGCCACCGCCATCTCCCATCTTCTCCAGTCCTGGATAAGCTTCGTGAGGTGAACAAGAAAGGGTGGTGGTGGTGGAAACTTAAGAGTGGTAGTAGCTGCTCCTCTGTATCCTGCTCACAAGAGCAAGCATGTTCGCCTTTGCAAGCACTCCCATTAGATTGTTTGTGAAATCCCTAGTCTTAAGCTTCTGTCTCTTAGTCACAAACCTGGTGGAGCAGGGCATTTTTCTATTCCCCGCTGATGTCAAAGTTCTGGCAGGAGCTAAGTGGCTGCAAATGGCTCTCTCTGGGAGCCCACATGTTTGCATGGTCCCTGTAAGCCTTGGCTTTGTTTACTGTGTCATGTGACCTAGCCAATGGTTTATTAAGACGGCTTGTTTAACCAATCATTGTGTTTTACCACAATTTGTGGTTCACTAAGTTAGGGGTAGGGACGCGGGTGGCGCTGTGGGTAAAAGCCTCAGCGCCTAGGGCTTGCCGATCGAAAGGTCGGCGGTTCGAATCCCCGCGGCGGGGCGCGCTCCCGTTGCTCGGTCCCAGCGCCTGCCAACCTAGCAGTTCGAAAGCACCCCCGGGTGCAAGTAGATAAATAGGGACTGCTTACTGGCGGGAAGGTAAACGGCGTTTCCGTGTGCTGCGCTGGCTCGCCAGATGCAGCTTTGTCACGCTAGCCACGTGACCCGGAAGTGTCTCCGGACAGCGCTGGCCCCTGGCCTCTTAAGTGAGAAGGGCGCACAACCCCAGAGTCTGTCAAGACTGGCCCGTACGGGCAGGGGTACCTTTACCTTTACCTTTACCTTAAGTTAGGGGTTCTTTGCAACTGAAAGTTAACAAGGCAGAAACCCTTCTTTACCACACTGAATGAAGAGAGGGGTGGGGGAGAGTATGAGCCCAATGCTTAGATCAGACATGCTGAGTCTCTTTTACGCTTTGCTAAATTCTGTTTACATTATGTGCAAACCAGCTCCAGGAAGATGCTTTAAACCTATACTTTCTAGGATTGGGAGAAAATGCATCTAAAGTAATATTCTTTTACTTCCAGGATTTAAATTGTCTAATGGAGAGATACCTGATGCCTCTGCAAAAGGAAACATTCCTCACTCAAGAAGAGGTATGGAGCTTTTCCCAGCATATTGTTCAGGAAGGTTTGTTGGCTGAAATTAAACAAGATGCCGTGTAGATTCGAACCGTGAAATTCTGAAATGGATTTTTGAGCATAATGAAGCTGATGACTGATATTGCCAAGGATTTGTAAGGGCAAACATGTTCAAATAAAGGCTGGTTAGCAGGATTAGACTTTTATACTAAAATCAGATTGCTGGCATTTAGGAGTCTAAAAATGTAGAGATAATGTGTTGTTACATATTTCATGTGAGAGGAATAATTTTCAACCCATGTTTCCCTATTTCTTTCTCACCAGCTGGACGTTCTCTTTGGAAATTTGACTGAAATGGTGGCATTTCAGGTTGAATTCCTGAAAACGCTTGAAGACGGGGTGAGGTTGGTTCCAGATCTGGAAAAGCTTGAAAAAGTTGACCAGTTTAAAGTAAGCATTTATTTTAATTAATCAGTAGCAATACTCCTAACTCTCCATTAATTTAATTTAATTTAATTCAATTCAATTCATAGTATGCTATAAGGATGTTTTCATATCCAGTTTCTCACTTGTATTTTTGTTGAAGAGTAAACAACAGAAATTTCATTGTCTTAAGACCTCATTTCAGGCAAGGCTAGTGTGCCATTTTCTAGAAAATAACTGGAAATCTGAACTATAAATTGCACTCTGTTTGCTCTTGACAAAAAAGCAGAAAAGAAAGCCACTTCTTTATTACCCTTCTCTTTCCTGTGACCAGGAATTACATAATACATAAAAGAAATGTAAAGAAAAAAAGTAAAAAATAATTGCAAAGAAGAAGTATCAGAAGAAATGAAAACTGTTTTAAATATTGTATTATTAGGTTATAACATTACTAAACGGGAATATGTGCATGTTCTAGAAATCTTTTTCATTTAAGTGCAGATTGTTTCAGTTTTTTACTTTCATCTGACCTCAGTAAGAGAGCAGGATTGTGTGGTAAATGATCCCTAGGTGTGGGTTTCTTGTAGGGCTGTGCATTAAATAAATAATAAGGTCAGTCTCTTGGTAGTTAAGAGCTTGGTAGTTCATGAAGCAGCTTTTGATGGTCTGTTGCTATGGATGCTACCCAGAAACTTTCCTCATTCCCTCTGAAGGTAGGAGGGAATTCTAGATTTCGGAACTACCTCCTTCAGAAATGAAAATGTCCACCTTCCTCCAAAGGGGCCAGTGTTTTCTTATTGGTCCCCAAAAGCATCCATCATAAATGTCCAGATGGCAAAATGTAGGGAGGGGGTAAATACTATAAACTGCCCTGGTATCCTTGGATAAAGGGAAGTTTATGAATTAATTAAATAAATAAATTCCTGTGAATTCACATTTTAAGATGTTATTAGGAAGAGAGGGAAACTCCAGTAGCCCTTTCCCCCTGCCCCCACTTCAAGGCTTTTTGTCAATAGAAATGTTCTAAGTGGAATCTTGTGTAATTTTTTTTTTTTACATTCTTATCGTGCTTGAAACTGAGGCTTGCCAATGAAATCGGTTGATAGTTAAGACATTCCTTGTATTCTGAATTACCAACTTCCTTCCCCTTCTAGTCTCAAAAGCTCTAGTCGTATGATATGGGTGGAGGGATGAGAAAAAGTATTGTATACTTTATAGAAAATCTGAATGCACTATTAAAAAACAAACAAACCAGCTAAAATTCTCTGCTTTCCATTCTCTTGATCCTAGAAAGTGTTATTTTCCTTGGGTGGGTCATTCCTTTATTATGCTGATCGTTTCAAGCTCTACAGTGCCTTTTGTGCCAGCCATACAAAAGTTCCAAAAGTTCTTGTGAAAGGTAAGAGCTATATGAACGCAACATACCTCCCTTATTCTCAAATTGTGTGGTAGCCTCTCTCAAGCCATAACATTGCATCACTACGTGCAGGGTTTGGGCAATGCTAGAGCTCTATGTGCTTGTAGCCCTGTGAATACAGACATGGATTATTTTGCTGTGCGATCTTTTGAGGTCTTTCAAAACTGCTAATACAGGTTTAATACCAGGATGATGAGTGATACAATATGTGTGTCACTTTTTTTCTCTTTTTTCTCTTGTATATTGGATGGTAACAAACCTATTCAGAGTTCTCTTTGCTTAAGTAATTCATCTTCTGGAAACTGGGGTGCTTGTATCAGCAAACTCTTCCCCAAACAAACTAGATAGAAAGGCAGTTCCATCTTCTTAAGCTCCAGAGGAGTATTTTATTTTTTTATAGCTACCTGCAAAATTAATCATACACAGAAGTTTCCTGTGAAATATTTATGTATATAGGGAAATGGTTCCTTTACAGCACAGCTTGCATATCCATAATGCATATATATCTTTATCAGGAATGACTTGTGGGTGGAAGAGGAAGTTGCAAGTTCTGTAGTGTAATGTATTTTTGCACAGGGATCCATTGATCCCTGGACTGCATCCAGGTCTGTGCACATATCAAGTGGGGGAGGCCAAAGAGGGAGCCATTTCATGCTAGTCCATATGAATATTGATCACAGATGGTGTACATAGAGTATGTGTTGGCTGGTGCTAGGGGTGGGATGAGGCAGGTAGCTCTAGGTAGAAGAGGAGATGGAGAGTTGCTTCATGTATATGACATATAACGTTAATCAGCTTTCTGGCAACCAAGGAAGTTCAGATGGCGTTGGGAGGATGTAATCATTTATGCCATACAGTATTTAATATCTGATGGGAAACCACAGGGAAGAAGCTGGACCACTGGTCCATTTAGATCAATATTGATCCATCTAGCAGGGGCTGTCCAGGATTTCAGGCAGGAGTCTTCCCTAGTTGTGTCTTGAAATGCCTGAGATTCAACCTAAGACTTCTCTGCAGGTAAAGCGTTTGCTTTAGCACTGTGCCTCAGCCCCCCTCTCCTCCAGGGAGCAAGCCCTAGGAAGGGAAGAGGCCTTCTGTTAATGACCAGCCCATGAAGCTGCATACCACAATCTTCAAATACTGTCAGCCAACAATACTTTTCTCTTGTGCCTTCCAAGTGGATTTAAAAAAAAAATGCAGTCCATGTGCAAATTTACACTCCCTTACCTCCCTGTACAAACCCTGCGCATGCCAGCTGATTCCATTATAGGCACATCATTCAACTGACTGTTTCCGTATCCATTTTCATGAAGTCATATTTCCATGCTTGAGTTTTGGGTATTTTTCTCACCACTTTCCCCACCACCCTCATCACCTGCCTTCTTGTTTTCTTGAGAAATCTGTCACCCCACAAACCATGTGGGTGGTGGCTACACCTTAAAATTTAATAATATTCATCTTATTGTAAATCTGTATTTTGTTTGCCACCTTGAGTACCTTCAGGCAGAGAGAGTGGTAGATAAATAATACGTAATAATATTTTTTTTAATGAAGTGAAATGTTTTCACCATGTCCTGAGAGTTGCTTTTTATTTCCAATCCTTTAGCTAAGACAGACACTGCGTTTAAGGCTTTTTTGGATGCTCAGAATCCCAGACGACAACACTCGTCCACGCTAGAGTCGTACCTCATCAAACCCATCCAGAGGATATTGAAGTACCCTCTTTTGCTGAAAGAACTCTTTGCCCTCACTGATGCAGACAGTGAAGAGCATTATCACCTGGACGGTAAGCTGATATTGAGTGTGATTTTAAAGCTTAACATGTGCCAAGTTTTATTACGCATTTGTTTTTGTCAAATGTTCCTGCATCCTACTTGCAAGTGTCCCACAGATAGCTGCAGGAGACCAGGATGCTGGACCAGGTAGGCCTTTGGTCTAATCCAGGAGGGCCCTTCTTGTGTTCTGTAGAGCCACTTAACATGTTACAAGGTGACCCACATTTGTAACTCTTGAAAGGAGTTCATATAGCTAAAAGTATGTGGGGAACCTGCACCTAGAGGTTTAATTGGTCCTTGCTTATGAAGATGTGGGGTAGGGAGAAAGGGATGTTTTGTTGCATGTTCTCAGATGTGCCAAAGCCCTTCAAGCAGTACAGAAAAGATAAGGTCAACCCACCCTGGAAACTTTAGGGATCTTAACTGAGAAGCTATGTGCTTGAAGATAGTCTCTTAAGAGTGCACACACAGGGCAACACCTGCACATTTTGTTCTGTAATTGATCACACCGGTGGGTGGTCATGCTGTTGCATCAACACATGCAGAGCATTCAGTTTTGCATGTGTTGCTGAGTAGATAAAAATGGTGTATGTGCAGTACTATAGCATGCATTTCATGGCTGCGTAACTGGTTGTGATTCATTAAAGATAAAATTGCACAGCTACTGTCCCTCAGTACTATCAAAACTGTAGTTCAGTGAGTCCAAATTTAATCACTGCTCCTTCACACACTCTGCCCAGCCTGAACTAACTCTCCTGTTTGGCTGATAAATCACAACATTGCTGCAGACTGAGGAACATAATGAAAAGATAACGCAGGAAAAAGAATAACCTATTCCCGACCAGCAGGTCAAATACATTGTGATGGAAGGTGTTATGTTGCAAACCAAGAGCACAAGGACAATTGTCTATATATTCTAAAAATGCAGTAGAAATGTAATGCAGACAAAATCTCCCAAAGGATAGTAATGCAGTCTGGTATCTCTGCTCTCATTGCTTTCTGTTTCTTTGCCTTTCTTCTTCTAGTGGCCATAAAAACAATGAACAAAGTTGCCAGCCATATTAATGAAATGCAGAAAATCCATGAGGAATATGGTGCTGTGTTTGACCAGCTCATTGCAGAGCAAACAGGAGACAAAAAAGAGGTAAGGGCATGTTCTTGGTAGTTTGGAAGATATTTTGATTATTTTTTTTAAAGGATGATATATCTTTTGTGTCTTAAGAATTTAATCTCTTATTTCTAATTGTTAGTTCTATTTTCTTGCACTGTCTCACAAAGCATAAACAACACATACACTCCAGAAGACACGCCTTGGTGGCAATTGTATAAATTCTGGTTCAGGTACTGTGTTGGTATGGTATATATAGCCTTCTGAAAGGAGATCTTTATCCCAGGTGATATCTGTGCTGGGTTTAAACTGATTTTATGTCTCTTGTCTGAAACTGTTACATATAAGTTGTAATTGTTTTTATATATGCAACTCTTTTATATAAGCCTGTTTTATATTTTTGTTATATTTTAAATCACTTTGGGATGCCTCAGTGGAACTGATTTATAAATTATTAAAAAAATAAATAATGCATAACTATCCAACCCTATCCAACCCATACGCTATATGACTGTCCTATCTATATATCCAGGCTGCTTGGGTTTGTTTCCTTTTCCTTCGCTTTCAGCCTATATTCCTCGAAACAATGATGTGGCCAATGGTGCATTTGAAAGTAATGTTTAATACCTGTAAAGAAAGCCTATCTGGAAGCTGAAAATGGAAATTGTTAGGACTAGGGCTGTCATTCAAAGAAATCTTAGCCAATAAATTGTATGGGTTTCATTGGTTTATGTTAGATTACATTTACCCATGCATCATTCAAAGAAAAAACATTATCTTAAATATACTAGGAATGCCTAAAATTGGAACTGCTTGTCTTGTTCCTAGCATCAGCTGATGCTGAGGACATGCAATTCACATGCCTTGCTTTTCAGCACCAGCCAGTGCATCTTCTCTCTTCCATTTGGGGTAGGGAGTACAGCCTGCAGTAGGCCAGGAATGGAGAACCTCAGGCCCAGGGGCCAGATCTGCTCCTCCAGGCCTTCGTTTGACACACGTTGCAGTTTTTGAATCATGTCTTTTGTTTAGACTTGCAAAGCCATCATTTTAAAATCCCATTACAAGAATTCACCTGCATGCTTCAGTGTCGATAATTTTATGAAACCAGTTTTTAAAATGCACACTGACATTTCTTTTCTGTCTGCGTTTCTCTGGTTGGCAGGTTGCAGATCTTTCTATGGGAGACTTACTTTTGCACACCACAGTCATCTGGCTTAATCCTCCCACATCGCTTGGGAAGTGGAAAAAGGAACCTGAATTGGCAGCATTTGGTATGTGCTTTTCCCCAAAAAAAACAAAGCAAATGATAGTTTTCATTTAGAACTTAGGCAGAATTTGCCAGTGATTGTTTCTGGGGTCACAGCTCCAGGGGCGTCTCCTACCATTCCAGGTTAGTGCTTTAACACAGCCTTGCAAATAAGCCCACAAAAGTTGCTAGCCTGCAGCAGTGCTGGGGCCTGGCAGAAGAGAAATGTGGAGCTGTGTCCCTCTTGCAGCAGCCTGCTAAATTTTTGTGGTGGGCACAGGGGAGGGGGCTTCCTTCTTCTGGTAGTCTGCTTGGCTTTTATGCTAGGCAAAGGGGAGGGACACAGTGTTCTATCCCTGCATATCTGGCCTGCATAGGAGTCCTTGCTGCTAGGGGTGGACTACCAGGCTAGTGCTTAAATGTGAACTACTTTAGCAATGAACAGTAAGTGCAAGAAAAAGTATCTTCCCCTAAAAAAAAAAGTAGTGTCTGTTGTGCCACAGGACTTCCATGCACCAAAATTGCTCCTCCTGCCATGTGGAATGTATAGTTCATGAAATCGCCTCTGCATTGTGAGTAGGTTAGGCATGGGTAAAGGTAAAGGGACCCCTGACCATTAGGTCCAGTCGTGACCGACTCTGGGGTTGCGGCGCTCATCTCACTTTATTGGCCAAGGGAGCCGGTGTACAGCTTCCGGGTCAGCATGACTAAGCCGCTTCTGGCAAACCAGAGCAGTGCACAGAAACACCGTTTACCTTCCCGCCGGAGCGGTACCTATTTATCTACTTGCACTTTGACGTGCTTTCGAATTGCTAGGTTGGCAGGAGCAGGGACCGAGCAACGGGAGCTCACCCCGTCGCGGGGATTCGAATCGCCGACCTTCTGATCAGCAAATCCTAGGCTCTGTAGTTTAACCCACAGCGCCACCCGTGTCCCTTAGGCATTGGTACCATGAGCTTATAGGTTTTGGCTGAACTGAATCAGCACATCCTGAAAATTACTCTTCACGTGTCAGTCATGTAAATTTAGGAGCCCAGTCTGCTCTTGTTGAAAATGGTGTCTAACCATGATCAACCAGTTTCTCCTTCCATCCTCAATTTAGATCCATCAGGGCTATTGGCCTACATTTTACTCCCATGTAAATGTTGATGCTGGTTCCTTTCCTTAGCACAGCAGTGTGGCAGAATTAATTGCCTGCAGATGAACTAGGAATGCATGACAATTTAATAAGATTAGCAGCATGGATTTTTTAAAAAAACCTCTTTTGAAGTAATACATTGGCTTTGTAACTTATGGATATCTGGGACTTTATTCACTGAATTTTGTCCTTTTTAAATATATGAGCTACTATTATGTTGATTGCTTATAGGAACCTTATTCAATCAAGAAAATTAACTGGTAATCATTAAACTGCTTGCTCTGGAGTAATCCCATTATAATGCATAAAATAATTCCCACAATATGTAGTTTGATGATAACCAGTTTAAGTGTCTGTAATGTTTTTAATATAAAGCTATTATCTAGAACTATGGTGGGCAGACTTCAGGTTTGTGAGATGTGCTTCGTTTTTTATTAGAGCCCTTGCTTAGATCCACCAACCAGAGCCTGATGCAAAAGACATGAATTTAGTATTAAATTCCATAAATTTGCTTTCGGTATCAGAGCTGAATGGTGCTCACACTCCTTCCATGCTCAAACCCATTCCTGTTTACCTTAATCTTTCTTCATTTCAGGAATATAATGTTAGGATGAGGGGAAGTCAGAAATCCATCCCTATTTACTGCAAACCAATCAGAGATATACCAGTAGATTGAGATATATTCTCTGCCCACCCCTGATTTAGAATACTTGCTTGCAAAGGTATAATAATATATCTGTAGCAGTTGGGGTGGGGGGGGGGGAAACAGTGTACTGACACTTGATTTTGTCAGCATCTATTCTAGGTAGTATAAATTATTTCATATTTTTAATAAGCTATGTCTTTTTAATGCATTCATTCTTTTTGCATTCATAACTCCCCACCATCACTATATTGTTCTGAAAGCTAATGTATCAGCATTACATATGATAATATTTCCCAACCATGTTTTTTATTGTAAAATAATGTTATTATGTTTTTATATATCTTGGGAGCTGCCCAGAGCGGCTGGGACGACCCAGTGAGATGGGTGGGGTATAAATAAGAAAATGATGATGATGTGATAATCATTTGAATTTTCCAAGCATAAACTTAGTTGTTTGGGCGCATGGGATATGTACTTGGGGATGTATCCACCTCCCCTTTTCCCACTCCTTTGACTTAACAATCTATTCCATGCTACAAATTACTGGTTTTCTCTATATTTTGGTCCCTCTCTAGTATTCAAAACTGCTGTGGTTCTTGTCTACAAAGATGGCTCCAAACAGAAGAAAAAATTGGTAAGTTTTTCTATTACAGTAAATAACACTATCAGTAACTCCTTTAAAACCAACACATGCTGAAGCTTCCTTGCAGTTCCCAGTAGATAGACTTACACATGTGAAGTCTCCTCTCAGGAAGGGATGTGGAGGCAGAAGCCAGACTGCCTTTGAAGGACTCCATCTTTCTGTTAGCTTTAAGAACACAGGAAGAGCCCTGTTGTATCAGATCAATGACCCGTCTAGTACAGCATCCTGTTCTCACAGTGGCCAACCAAATGCTTGTGAGAAACCCACAAAGCAGGATCTGAGTGGAACAGTGCTCTTTCCTCCTGCTTGTTTCAGCAGCTCGTATTCAGAAGCATGCCACCTCCAAGTGTACAGATAGCATTGTGCTCGCAGGTTGCCTCTCAGCTGGCGACAGCAGCACTCAGGATGCCTTTGAGGGGCACAATGCTGTCCTTCAAAGGTAGCCTCCCAATGGATAGGTCAACATTGCAGGTGACTTCCACTAAAGTCAGATGGGCAACTTGAGGTGGACAGTGCCCCTCACCCCAATTCTTTTGAAGGAACTGAGCACAACTGTTGCTTATATTAAGCAGCTCTCCTCAATTTCATATGACATTGTCAAAATCATTCCAGGCACTTGCATTTGCTATTTTGGACACAATCAGCAACTACACAATGCATTGCACACCTTGCATTGTGCAGTGCAGTGTTTCTCAAATGTGGAGGGGCGTTGGGGGGGCTATTGTAGATTGGAGGGCCAGGAGTGTTTTAATCCTTTTGAAAATTCAAATAAAATAATTAGGGGAGCCAGGTTTGAAGGGGGTATGGGATTTAAATATTAGTTAAAAGGGGGCATGGGTTGAAAAAGATTGAGAAACACTGCCTTAGTACTTTACTAGCTGAGAGAAGCTGAGAGGACTTTGATAAGTCATTACCAGTTCCCAGATCTGGAAGAAGCTACAAACAGTATACTGTGAACAGTACACCACATTGCAAAATAAAACCGACACATGGTATTTGTGAGATATTTGAACCTAAAGTTTTCTCAGGTCTGTGGGATGGGGAGGTGGTCAACAGAGGAGTGATTGCCTTTCATTCCTAGGCAAGTGGAATGAAATAAACCTGAATGCAGTGCTGGCTAGCAACATTATTTCTTAAGAAATGGGCAGAGATAGATTGCTAAAGGAAAGGGAAAACACACTCGTAGGAAAGAGTTTCATTAGCTTTATTTTTGTGGATATTTCAGACCACAGGTGTGAAGTCAGTGCTATAAAAATAATAATAGGCATGGTTCTCTCCCCGCTCTTATATAGGGAGGATCACACAGGGCTTCAATATACGAAGACTCAGACCCATTCCGTTTCCGTCACATGATTCCTTTAGAAGCTCTGCAAGTTCGGGCACCGGCAAGCGCAGGTAACAAGCAAACATTTTTCTTTGTGTTTGGATCTGTTTTTAATTTATTTTTTACTACAATGTAAGCTTGTTGTTCTAGCCAAAGGTCATGACAAACCAACCCGCAGCAACAGTACCAAGAAAACAATACAGATCATAGAGCCATAATATGAGCCAACATCCACGATATGTTTATCTTACTTAAAAACCTTTGTGCTTTTCTAAATATTCAAGGCAGGTACCAAAACATACATACAAAAAATGGAGCAAATAAAAGCAAGTTCCAACAACACAGAAAAAGAGAAAATAACCTCAACAGACTCTTTGATGTAAAATCAAATTAAAGACTGAAAAACACAGCAACTGTGTAGCATACCATGCCTTTTGGTTTAGCAAATGTGGCTGTTCAGCTTCTCCTGAAATTGAAACACATGATCTCTAGCTTGGGCTCTGCTGTAGTGAACTCTCTGTGGGCTGCCCTTGAAAAAAGTTAACTACCATGGTTCCAAAATTAATTATTAAACTGGCATGAGTGTAGAACCCATACAATATCACTCCAAAAACATGGATTAATTACTTCTTTCTGACTCCAGTTCATTATTCTGGTTTTAACCTTAAATGTCCCACATGACCTATGTACTGAAGGAAGCCTTCCCAGTTTTTGTGCTTTCAGATCCTTTGAGGAGGCTCTTATGAGTATCCTGCCATTTAATTGCAGTGGTTCACCATTAACTGTAGAGCTTCTTTGGTGGTGGTAACACCTTGGTGGTGCTGAGACATCTTGCTCAGGGATGGCCTTTCTGCCGCCACATAAGTGAGAGATGTCAGCAAACCTTTGCCTAAATTTTGACTAATTTTAAAAGAGGAAATTGCTTAAATCTTTGCCTGTTAAATTTTTTATTTTGATGGAGTATTGTGACTGATTTCTTTAATATACTGTAAGCCACTCAAAGCCATTCTTCTGAGCACTGAATGAATCATTCTGCCATGATCCCAGGCCTCATTTGCCATGTGAAATGCTTGTTTAGGCATGCAGGCAGCCTTATTTGAAGGTTGATCACTGCTGAGCTTGAGTCACTCAAAAGACTTGCTGGGAACAACTGGGTCCCATACTATAGCAATGTTAGTTTTTCTTATTTCAGAGCATTCCCAATCCCTTTTAACCAGTGGCTTCATGTTGCTGACCAACCATTAAAACAAGCAAACCACTGTACATTTCCTACGTATATAAAGAAAGGTTTAAACCTCAAGCTGCCAGATTGTGTTTCCAACTTGGAAGGTGGTTTAGGTTAGCATTGATGTTCATCTCGTCCTTCCTTGATTGCAACTCACTTGTCTTGTCGTTCTGCATGTCGGTCTACAAAAATTCTGTTGTCTGATCTGATCTCCAGAAACTGCTGTCATGGAGAGTAAATAGAGAGACACTTTTTTGAAGTGCATGAAACAAGTATTCCTAATATGCGCTGCTGGTGTGCACTGCATGTGGCCTGGCTGTATGAGTTGTTAGGTTCACTCCGGTGAAAGCTGAATCTTGTTGAACAGCTGGAAGCCCACTAGCAAGCAGAGAAGCTGCATGAAGCCCTAAAAACAGATAGCGGAATAGTTTTGTGGCAAGTGAGCCTACAATTCTTTTCTCTGTTGTGCTGTAACATGCAGGCTCGAGAGTACAACTTACGACTGGCAATGTTGCCCTTGAAGCCACAGAATAAGCAATAAGAGATCATCCCAAAGGAGTAGCCTTGGCTGTTCTCTTATTTCATTCTCTTTGCTTTAAAATGTGGATTGTGCAGCCCGTGGCTCCTCTGGAAGTACCCAAACTCTCATTTGGTGCAGTCTTTAGAAGCTGATACTCACACAGTCTTGGTGAATCTTGCATAGCTCTCCCTTTTGTGAGTCACGGGGGATGGCCATAGTAGCCATGAAAATTCAAAACACTGGGTTTTTTTAAAGTGTTTTTATCTTCCTTCCAGACGCAGAGGCCAATTCTGTCTGTGAGATTGTTCATGTGAAATCTGAGTCTGAAGGCAGGCCAGAGAGGTCATTCCACCTTTGTTGTAGGTAAGAGAGTGCTGTTTTTAAATATACAAATATATTTGACTCTTGTAATGAAGCTTATTGTTACTGTTTATTGTAAGCCACTCTGAAAGCCACAGCCAAGAGCAGCCAACAAAAGATGAATGAACAGATCAATAGTTAGATAGAGGACTAGATAATGTTGAGGAAAGCTGGGCATAGAACTAGAAAACCTGGGTTTAATTCTGACCATTGCCAGGATCTTTCTGTGGCCTTGACATTGTTCTACTCCTTAGTTCCTGGTCTGTAGTGTTAGAACAGTGGCTGATCTAACAGGATTCTTGTGAGGGTGAACTCAGTTAAGATTGTACAGCAGCTTGCAACATTATACAGCAAATTAAGCTAAATAAATAGAATGCAAATGCAGACTGTTTTGCTAGCTTGGTGCCTTACTTGTGTTCCCTTTTTTCTTTCTTTCTTTCATCTAGTTCCCCAGATCATCGGAAGGACTTTCTGAAGTCTATTCACTCAATATTACGTGACAAGCACAGAAGGCAGCTTCTTAAAACTGAAAGTTTGCCTTCATCCCAGCAGTATGTTCCTTTTGGAGGAAAAAGACTCAGTGCTTTAAAAGGTGCAAGGCCAGCTATGAACAGGGCAGGTACTGTAGGGTTACAGCTTTTCAAGATCTCGGTAACCCAACCACCGCTGTAAGACACGCCTGAGTTCTTTATTTGTGCAAAATGGTGGTGGTGCTTTCATGTTCCTCAAGAGTTCAAATCTCACTCTTCCTTTAAAAGCACATCGCTCAGGGTGTGGAGGATAGTACTTTGGCAAGAACCTTTCAAGCTTGAAAGTTATCCAGGTGGGGTTATTTACTAGTCCATCAGATGTGTTACCAATAGGCAGACATTTACGTTTAGGAAGGCAAGTGTCTCTGTCCTCAGAAGACCCCTTGTAAGGTGAACCATGCCTACATAATTTAGTAGTAGACCTTGAAGCCAGAGGGAAATTGCTGACTTTTCAGCTTCTGTCTCCATCTTTTATTTATTCCATAGGCTGCCTTTTGGGGGTGGGGGTGGGGACTACCTGCATTTCCCATGACTTAGGGCAGGTGGTTGCATTATCACATTATCAGTTGACCTTCAGCAAACTAACAAACTGGAAAGCGTATGATTGTGGGACAGGGGAGTAGAGAAGAAAAGCTGTGCTGTCTTCAAGAAAAAGCAAAATATGGAGCTTTACAGGATTTTCATCTTGGATCTAAGTGAAAAATTAACCGTGTATCCTGGGTATTTTTACCTCTTTTGTAACAGACCAATAATATTCACAGCAGGACTTTTTGTGCAAGACTCTGCACCTCAGAGGCCTGGTTATGAGTGCTGAGGAAAAACAAACTAGCCTTTTGCTTTCTGCTGTAGAGCTCCCTTAATTTCCTGCTGACTCCTTTTGTTCCTAAATAGCAGAACATTTGTCTCAAGAGAGCAGGAACTGTGTAATGCTCTGCCTTTTTCTCCACTTTAAAATTCTACAACCTGACTGTTAACTTTATGATGTCAGGTTTGGGGGTGTTTCTGATTGGTGGTTAAGTATCAAACAGCTTAGAATTAGGTTTGAGTCTAATTCACAAGCAAGTAACTTGTACTGGAATAGCTACACAGTTGCTGGGAGGACCTTGAGAATGAACAAATGAGCTTGCTTCTCCTTTGGAATAGACACACATCCATGCACTTGTACAGTCTTCTTTTGCATCTATTCAATATCAGCTCCCTACAGTCTCTGGATCTGATCCATACTTAGCCTGTGCTATGCGGCTTCTGGGGAGGAGAGTATAACCTTAACTCACTTTCCCCTCTTAAGCTCACAATTAAGGAATAGGAAATTGGTTCCTTCCTTAAACACATATTTTTGGTCCATTTCATTGAAACCTTAAAGAGGGTGTAAGACATGAGAAAGTAGGGTGGTCTGCATTTACACACGGGGCATTTTTGGTTGCTTCAGTTCATCAGAGACGTATTGAGCATGGACACCATTTGTCATGTAGTGAATGGCCTGAAGTTTGAAGGGGAGGTGCATGTGTCAGGGAATCTTACTGAACAGCATTTCTTCATGTGTCTCCCATTGCTTGTTCCTTCTGTGTGCACAAGTGCATCCCCCCCATCAAAAGCTTATGGCATTCACTGCAAGACATGCAGAATTCTTGGGAAAGCATGTTTCCCCTCTAAGCAGATCTTAGAACAGGGAAGTTCAAGCCTGCGGGCCAAACGCCAAGCCTCTCCACAAGCTGCGGTCCTTCCGTCAGGCCACACCCTTCACCAGCGTAGCTCTGCACCTCTTTTGCATGGCTAGAATGCAACCCACTGTATGTACAAAAGTAAGAGTCGCTTCTGCTACTGCAGCCATTTTTGCCTCTTGCCCAGCCCATCTCTGGCAGGCAGACCCTGGAAGGCTCCCTATGAGGGGTTATGGCCCTCAGGCTGACAAAAGGTTCCCAACCTAAAATAGAGCTGCAAAGAATAGAGGACCATTAAATACCAACCACCCTTTCCACAATACAGGATTGGCTGTTTGCCACCATGGCCCTGGCACAAAAAGCAAACAATTAGGCGACAAAATGGGGTCCATTATCCTAGTGTGAGGAGCTGCTGGAGGCCAGATTTCTCAAAGGTCACTGGCAAAATTTATAATTCCCAGAAACTGTCTAAAATTCGAGTTGCCTGCACAGAAAACGTTGGTGTAAAAATTGCCCACCCTTCTTCTTGAAGAAGAAGAAGAAGAGTTTGGATTTGATATCCCGCCTTTCACTCCCCTTCAGGAGTCTCAAAGCGGCTCACAATCTCCTTTCCCTTCCTCCCCCACAACAGACACTCTATGAGGTGAGTGGGGCTGAGAGACTTCAGAGAAGTGTGACTGGCCCAAGGTCACCCAGCAGCTGCATGTGGAGGAGCGGAGACGCGAACCCGGTTACCCGGGTTCTTGTCAGTTGACCCTTGACTAATATAATTATGAAAAAGGATTTGGAAGCCAAATTCGGGGGGGGGAGGGGAGTGTTTTGTAACCAATTGTTTGTAAAAGCATCTGGGGTTTTATTTTTGTGTGTGCACACAGTGTCTGCCCCAAGCAAGTCTCTTGGGAGGCGGAGGAGGAGGCTGGCTCGAAACAGATTTACCATTGATTCAGACGCCGTGTTCGCCAGCAGTCCCGAGAAAGAGCCCCAGCAGGCCTCCAACAACAAGGACACTGACCGCTGGGTAGAAGAACAATTTGACCTCGGCCAGTACGAAGAGCAAGAGGACATTAAAGAAACCGACATTCTCAGTGACGACGAAGAATACTGCGAGCCTCTGCGGAGCACCATGGTGGAAAAAGAACTTCAGGAGCAGCTACAGGCAGCTTCCATTACAAGCAACCAGTCGTGCCGAGGCGACAAAGTGCGGTTTGCTTTGGGGACGCATGCGTCCAGAATGACTCAGCTAAAGAAGCAAGCTGCTCTCTCTGGAATTAATGGCAGCATGGAAGGCAACAGTGAAGAGGTCATCTGGGTCCGCCGTGAAGATTTCGTACCACCAAGGAAACTGAACACTGAGCTTTAGAGCTGCCACTTTCTCATTAGATGGTAGGCATAGATGTGCCCCCAACCCACCCCTTACACATTGTGGAGAATGACCCTATGGAATGCACACTTGCACATACAGTTATGGCAGCTAAACTGGTTGAAACCACACAGCCTCCCCCCCCCGCCACCTTCTCATTTCCCTTAAGGTAATGCATAACAGGGGAGGGGGGAGCAAAACAAACTGGAATGAGCTTGAGTCCTTCTCTGTACATTACCAAGGGCTTTATTTATTCGAAACTAATCAGGCGCTGCATATTGAAATGGGATGCATAGATCTTACTAGAATACACATTGCTGTGGTTGTGTGTATGTGGTTTTTAAAAAAACAAAACAAAAATGCATCAAATTTGCTTAAGTTGATAGCACAAGCAGCAAACAAATTGTATATGTGACATGTCAATCATGGGTTCATCTTAAGCAAGGAAGCTTCAAGGAATAAGTCTTTCAGGCTGCAGTATTCTTATATCCCCCTTAAACGTCAACATTTCTCACTCTCATCCAGCAAGGGAGTTCCATGCCAAGAAGCGGACATCAGTGCATGGACTTCCCTAATTTATGGGATGCCACGGTTGGCGTTTGAGTGGAGGGGAAAAAAATCTTTCGTTCAGTACCCAGGGGTATGCATGGGGTGGAGCTGCACTGCGCATGCACCACTGAACAGATATTTGGGGCTGTCAGCTCAGAATGGTCCAGTCACTTGCTTGGGGAGGAAACAGAACCAGGCTCCCCTTTCTCCCATCCCTTCACAAGTGATCAGTACTGACAACACCAAACGTTTGTTTGGCATGGGAGGTACTTGTACACAGTAGCATTCACAAAGCTTACTGTCACCAAGGGAGGATCTCTGGATCCAGCAACACTATGTATATTTTAGGAATGTGTGAGGGGAAATCTGGAATTTATGTTGTGCCGAGTTCTCTTTGGTCTGTGGCTAGTCTGATTTAATGTCAACGTTGGAAGTTCTAGTTTTACATTAAAGAAAAAAAATTATAACAATGCCAAACTCTTTTTTTATTTGAAAAAGAGATCCAAATTTAACACTTGAAAAAGATATTTTTTGTATTTTACCTGAAATGCAAGGGCACAAAGGGATGGGAATTTTACAGTGTTAGCCTGCAATCTTATGCACACTTGCTAGGGACTAAGTCTCATTTGACACAGCAGGACTTGTTTCCGAGTAGAAGTGCATGAGATTGTGTTTCCGTTCCAACTCTAGGATGTAAAGCAACCCTTTTAGAAAGGGTTGAGGATGTTGGTTTTATAGTATAATTCTAAACTGGAAACTCTTAGGGATAATCTTTTTTTTTCCTTTTTGTAAAATAAATATAAAACTGGACAGCTGTACATATTTGAGACTGGAATTAAGTTAGCAATGTCATTAAATAGCTGAGAAACCAAGAGGGTTAAATTAATCCCTGCTGTAAATTCTGTTGGAATAGGCAGTCTGCATCTAGGATGAGTTTGATCCTCTGTGGTTGATGAAGTTAGGGCTCAGGAAAAATTGAACATTTTGTGGCCAAAAAACCTGACCTCCTCCTATTATTATCCTCTGTGATATCAGTGTACTTATTGATTGCTCCCCTGCCCCAACCCACTGTGGAATATGAGCAATGTTCTGAACAATAAAACTTCTTCTTTTTTTTCAATTTAAAAATTCTTATTTAAACATCTGTAACAGGGTAAAGTTGTGACCGAAATTTAAAGATTTCCAAATAATTTTTAAAGAGCACTTTTTCTGTTTAAATATTTATATAGCTTTCCCATTTTAGTTTTGATCTGCGAAAAAAAAGGGGGGGGAGAGAGTTTTGTTGTTTGGTTTGGGGTTTTTTGAAGGGATCATTTTTGTATCTATTGATGTTTGACACATTAGTAGGTACGCTGAAAGCCTAAAATTTTATAATAGCTTTAGGGATTCTATTTTATACAATCAGCTGTGGCTATATTTTGAGACATGAATGGAAAATGTTACCGGGCGGCAGCACCAGCTGCCTTGTGTCCCAGCCAATATTGGAGTCTCACCCGCACTATATTCAGTGTTTTGAAAGTTTTATTGTCTTTAACTTTTGCAATCTCTTCATTGTTTTCTTAAAAAGCTTTAGCAAGGTTTTTACACCCTGTGTTATCTCACTATATTTAAATTCAAGTCGGTTGTGTACCAATTTATTAGACATGACAATGTTTTAGCTGTCCCCAGTAGAATACAATAAGCTTGTCAAATGCTGAACGTCCTGTACTTGGAGGGTGCCATTGTTCTTGTACATAACGTCATGAACTGTCAATGTCAAAGGTTCTTATATATTTCTTTTATAAGCTGAAAGAAGGTCTATTTTTATGTTTTTAGGTATATGAATGGAACGTTGTAAATGCCTGTCAAATAAAACAATACGGGGGAAAATATTGGAATAGCGTTGTCATGGCTGCGTGTGGCTATCCTGGTCTCTTTCAGTATAGACTGCTGCATTTGCCTAATGAAAGAACAACAGCACAACCCAGGCAAGCCTAAGCATTCTTAAAATTCCGAAAGCACGTTCCAGCCCATGTTTAGGTCGCCTATTGAAACTGATGAGACTTAGGCCGGCCTTAACTTTGGCCGAGTAGATCCCCTCATTTCAAATACACACACCTGTTTCTTGATCCCAACATATGTAGCACAATACAAGTCCTCTTATCTGAACCTTGAATTTCTTGCAGATCTGGTCCTGATTTGGTACTGCAGGTCAGTCATGACTCAAAGTTTCAACTGTGCTGTCCTTGTATCTGTTTTGTAAGAGGATGTTGGGTAACATAAAGTGCACACCCGCATCACTCTTTCCCCACGAACAGGGCAGGCTTGCACATTCAGAAATTCTCTAAGTCTTGTGAACAAACAAGAGAGGTGCACGGGCTATGGGTATGCATAAACACCAATTTCATCCTTTTCTTCATCAATCATCTTCGTTTTCCCACTTAAGGACCGCTGTGGCATGAGACCCCTTTCAGCCTAACAAGCTTGAGTGTGAACCCTGGGCGGCTTTGTGGGTGGGTGGTCTTCTGGGAGAGTTAGCTGAACGGGATGGGGTTGCATTCCCTCTGAAGGAGAAGAGATATAGCGTGGGAATACTCTTTGAACCACCATTGTCATTTGAAGCTCAGGTGGCCTCTGTGGATAGGAGAGCCTTTTGTTAGCTTTGTCAGCTCTGGACATTCCTGGATAGGGATAACCTGACCACTGTGATCCATGTGCAGGTAGCCTCAAGGCTGGATTATTGCAATGCGCCCTATGGGGGGATGTTATTGGGTCTGGTCTGGAAGCTTCAATTAGTGCAGAATACTATGGCTAGACTGCTGCTGGGAACTGACCTCCAGCACATGGCACTGGTGTTAAAAAACCTGCACTGGCTTCCTATCTGCTACCAAACTAAGTTCAATGTTTTTCTACTAGCCCTGAATAACTTAGGCCCAGGATACCTTTAAGGGCCACCTTGCCCTGCACACCCTAAGACTATCACTGAAATCATTGGGGAGAGCACAAATTAGTTGTTCCCTATGGGCCAGAAGCATGCCTCATGCCATCAAGGAACCGTGCTTTCATTGCTGTTGGCCCATCTCATCCCTACTGAATTTTGTACATGTTATATTTTAAGCCACTTTGGAGAATCATGTAGCGAAAGTGAGGCGCACCCCCCCATTTAGCAATTAAATTAGCAGCTTATAAATTCTGCTACTTTTCTTCCATTTCCAGGTCCTCCATCTATGGTGGGGAGGATACATCTGATCAGTTTGCCACACATTTGCACCTGATCTATGGTAAAAGTCTCCTTACTCCTTGACAGGACAATAGAATTCTCTCCAGAAAGATAGACTGCCTATCTGGGCTTACAGATTCTGGGCAGTTCTCTGGGCAAGCACCACAACACATCTGCACTTTTATCTGTTAACTGGTAGCAAGCAATTCAAAATATTGAATTGGCTGTTGCTGTCCGATTAACAAAAGGTAATTGTCCACAACATATTTCAAGGGCAACAGGGTTTTGTGGGATTTCCACTTGTGCAATGGGACTTTACCTGTGTGCTCCTAAATTTGTTTTGGGATTCCTCTTAACTCTCTGGAGCAGATTAGGGGAGGGGGCAGGGTATGCAAGGGGGAGAAGAAGAGGAGAAGTCCAATAGTGCAAGTGGGAATCCTTGCCTTGGTAGGATGTTTACTTAGCATTGCATTGGATACAAGCCACTCTTTTTCAACTTCCATTGAACTAATCTCATTTTGGTGAAATACCTCCTTTGAAATTCGCCGTGTATTGTTCACCATCGGCATGGATTTTGGCTAATATAATTGCACCAAACATTGATTTATAAATCAACCAACCATACAAGGACGAATTTGATTTAACAGCGGGAAGTATTAGTGAGAAGAGGTTACAAGGTAAGTGTAATCCAGTAACTTGCACCTGGTCCATCACAGTAATCATGATGTTTATACAGGCACTTCCCTTGGTTCACAGGTGCTGTGGCTGACATTTGATAAACAATAGGGAATCCTAGCATATTTTGGCTTTTAGATTTTCGGTCTAAAAGCTGCCACTTTTCTTCAAATACTTCGAAAACACATTAATAACAAAATTCTCTTTCCAGTTTTCACTCTTCTGTTAAAATAATGAAAGAACTGGATCATACCAGAGGCCCAGTTCATCTGGCATTCTGTTCCCAATCCCGAATTAAATGTCTGCACAGTAGATGTTCAAGTCTGCCCTTCTGATATCTCCTCTGTTCTACCTGATGCATAATCTGACATCTGTTTCATAAAACTTGAGTCAGTTTCAAGAACATCCTCATATACTTCTATCTAAGCACTGGGGGAGCAGGTGTTGGTACAAAAATGATGGTGTGTGTGTGTGTGTGTGTGTGTGTGTAGATGCACAGCTCTAAACAGAGTCTTTGAACGGCAGCCTTCCAGAGGTAAGCCAGCTGGATGCCATGCTACATCTGTACACCCAGAAAGGAGTGGATTTCCAGATTCCTTGCTTGTCCGCTACTGAAGGGACATGCAATTTGATTCAAGTTGGTGTCAGTGAAGTTTGCTGAGCTAATATGTGCCACTGTCTATTTTAATGGTATACATAGTTTTTTTAAAAATGAAACAATCTCAGTTTTAATTAAAGCACACACTATATGCCAGGTGCCATGGGGTTTGAACCAGGACCTCTGTGTATTGAGGGCTGGATCATTGCTCTGTATGCCACCAGGACTGCTGGTTAGAAAAGAGAAATGGAGACAGTTGAAAATGAGACATTTGCTCAACAGCCCAGAATCCTCCTCCCTTGAGGAACTGTGTGACCCCAGAGGGCCAGATTCTTGCCGCTCTCTGATAAAAAGCTGCCCTCCACTGGTCTGAGTATTTTATCAGAGAGCAAGGCCAGCAGGTTATCTTTGTACATTAACAGACTAATGGTTTTCTACTGGCCTGGATGTCTATAGAAATGTTTGGTAGCATTTTTCTTCCCAGTCATTGTCCTTCATTATCATTGTCCGGTCATAACTGGAGCCTCTAAAAGCCTCTCAAACAGCCGATTTTGTGCAAATGTCACAAATTTCTTCTGCTAATTTGTTCTTTTTGAAGGGTGGCAGCAATGGGAGTGTTTTCTGATCTTGCTCAACCCTGGCTGTTTTATTATCTGCTTTTAATAATTCTGCACTACTCTTTTTTTCCAATGAAGTTAATTGCATGCGTAACAGTGCATAGATCAAGCAGCCAAATGTGTTGACCCGAAAAGGCTAGCTGGTCTGGAAGCCTCGCTTGCAGCATATTGATGGTCAAGATGACCCCTACCTAACTGGTAGCAGCTGTAGCACTGAGCTCATATGCTTTTCACATGCTTTGATGTAGCCCCAGACATAGCTAGAAGGGGAGGTAATGATTAATACCATCCACCTGTGTTCCCAGGTGACTTAGCCTGCCAGGGCCTTTGTGTATCTTTACTTGAGTGCAGACAAGTAATCTCCTTGCTGTGGAGTCCATTCTGCAGAATGCTGTGATCGGGGCAAGGAGGGAACTGTTGGACCTTTGCTGTAAGTTTGTAACCTTCTTTAATAAATTGTTAGACCTGATCTTTCTTTGGAATCCCTGCATTCCTGAGCTCCCTTGAGTCCTCCCCTGGCTCTGCAGGGCGTTTCACCAAGCTATTCAAACACTAAACAAAATCTTCAAGATAATGAAATGCAATTATAACCACACTGTGGTGTTTTGTATGTGTCTTTCGGTTGACTTGAATGAAGCAACTCTCATAAGTAAGAATGCATAATAAAGCTAGATAGGTGCTTCCTGCCCACTGCATCCATTACAATGAAGGCCACTAGAGGGGAAATCCTTTACAAAAAAATAATAAAGGAGCAATGAATAAGCACAGATCCTGTAATGATAAAATAACACCACTGGACAGCCTAGTGATGGTTGGAGGAGAGCCATGCGCTGTAATGGATCAAGGAGACCTCTGCAATTTTAAGCCACTGAAGATGTTGAGGTTTTGATGCCTTTATGCAATTTTATGTTGCTTGATGTTGCATGAAATTTATGGCAAAGTTGGTAATCAAATATAGATAACAGGCATCAAATAGACATATGGCCCCTGGTGGCAGCCTGTGCACTCAAGCGAAGACGCCAAGTTAATAAGATAAGAGCTAATGTTATTTTTTGAATGCTGGAAAATGTGTAGAACACATTTACATTGGTCAAAGCATTAAATGTGAATTTCGATGCCAAACATACTTGTGGTTGTAAAATTTACAACCCTGTAGTTCAACAATTTTCTGATTTCATAGATTTATTGCTGCGTAGTAATTTCACGTGGAAAGAAAGATTTGATGACACTTATCAGTAAGATTAATTGGGAACATTTCTGCTGTGTGGCCAGAAGGGGGCAGTCCGTCCTTAAGAAAAATGTGTAAAACCTTGATTGATTGATATTTTTTTTGTAAAATGTAAGCACAGTGCTATTTGGGTTTTGATCAAAATTAAATTAAAACCGAGAGGCCTTTTCTGCTTATTTGGATGTTGTATTTGCCGCTGGAACGGAATACAGATAGATATAGAACAATGATCCTTCTAGGTTGCATTTGAATTTTGCGTCATTCAATCAGGAAAAAGCAATTTTAAGGGATGAATTTAGATTTGCTTTTAATTTGAGGAAGATTAAAACTTTTAATTAACTCTCTAATACCTCCTTTAGGAATGGAGCGCCTTTCTAGTCTTTTAATCACTAATCACAAAATGGCCTAATCGTGTTTGATGTAATAATACCAGTTTAAAGCAGCCGACTTCTTAGGGACACAGTGAGCTGCCTTATACCAGGTCAGGCTAGTTGTCCAATTAGTCCTCTGTTCTCCACTGTGACTGCAATGCTCTAGGGCAGGGTTGGTGAACATGTAGC